TCTTGCATAAACTATTCACCTTGATAAATTGAATACCTAATTATCTTTACACTCATTCTACTTATTACATATTTAATAACTGTACAAACAACATCAAACGTTTTTTTTGCCGAGTTACTTATTTAACTCTCATTTTTACATAATGAGCTATTATCACCAGACGATTACGTAAATTCACCTTTAGATTTATATATGAATCCACTTACATTACTAATTGAAGTATATTATGAAGTTGACTAAGCATCATTTATTTGATAATAATTTTATTCTCTACATGACATGGAACTAACTTTAAAAGAAATGAATAGTTTTATCACTGATTGAAATCATGAGTCAATTGAAGCTAGACCATCATGGAAAACCTGGAAGCACTGGACAGCCGTTTCGTTTTAGTATGGGACTCCTCAGCAGTGAGCGTCCACGATCCTGCGCCCCAGGACCTATCAGTCTCGCTCCAGGCGCTTAACATCTAGACCACTGAACCGGCATCCAACGGTGTTAATGTCTACCTTCAACCAATCCACAAAGTCGCCCCACCGTACACCATTGTCTTCAGTGAGTTGATATCTCACAACTCATGATTTCAACTAGTAAAATTTCCAAAAAATCTCGACAAAACCCCTTCTGAAAATACTTTATCACCTAACTTATATTTTTTTAAATATTTGAGCGGAATTATTTAATATAATTTTTTAAAAACGTTTTAGCATTTTTTACGATATCAGTATTGTAAAACTGAGAAAAAAGTAGTTTATAAAGTAGTAAATGTCACACTTTTTATAGGAATATTAGTTGAAACTGTAGTGAACACGAACACGGATGGGGACAATCGAATGTATTTAACACAAAATTACAGGACTTGTTAATAAAATCTAACAATCAAATAGTAAATACGTAATTTGCAAAGTATCCATCATTTGTCTTATAATGACTCAGATTTCATTGTTCTTGTATTTTCATACAAATTACATCCTGTTTCCATTCTTTACTGTTTGATCTTCTTGTCCCTCTGCTGCCAGACATTCTGTTCCTGACTAACATCGTCTACTACTTATGTCAATATAAGTAGCACACATCACAAAACTACTGATTTCTCTATACGGAATTTATTTTGTAAAAGGAAGCACATCAATCAATTAGAACAAGAAATGAATTTAATCTTAAAATAGTAAAACAGATATTAAAATAATCTGTTTTTTATATTCTGTTCCAACGTTACAAAATAGATATTAAAAGTAATATAGATCATTGTAGAAATGTTTGGTGGATACTTTTAAAGACCAATAAGTGAAAATGTCATAAAAGGTGAGGTATTTCTAATCTGGTTTACAAAACAAAGTAAAACAAAAACGAAAAAAGAATGAAAAGAACTCTATTTCATTTGAAGCTAAGGGAATGTTTTATTGATTTTGGCAATGTTTTCATGTATATCATGTTGGCGAGACTCTAATTTATGGACGAGCCAATCAGAGGCGTTTTAGAGATTTCAAGGTTACGGCACCAACTTCAGTGCTTACTGCTAACTTACGATTGGTTTACAGGGAATTTTGTACAAAACGTGATCATTGAGTGGCTATAACAAATGAAACGGCGGGACTATAATTTGTGGACTAATCAATCAGGTATAAGATAACAGATCTCGGATTTTTGCGCGAAAGCTTTTCATCCATTTGGCTAGATAAATTTCTGGCATTATATCTGATGTCAATTCGCGTTAAAAACCCCATATATAATTCCTAACTAAGGCAAATTATGACAATTATTGAGAACTGGATAATAAAAGCACCAGTAACACTGACTGCAGCCAGGTACTACAATATATACGGATGTTTAGAGAGCGTACAGACTCCTACAAAGGCTTGGTTATGTGCATCATGTCGTTATCAAAAAGTCACATTTTTTGTATTCAACAACCGGAGTGCACACAAACAATACTGAAGCTATGTAGTCGAGGCTGAAAGAGTTTTTGAGAGTTTATCATGGCTCCAGTGGTCGACTATTCCGTAGCCATATGGATGATTCCTTCTACTGCACGAATTACGATTTTAGAACCTCTGAACATCTTTCTAACCTTGACAAGTTTTTGAACCACGTATAAGACGTGTATCCACTTTATTTCTTTGGTTTTGTATAGTATATTTTTACTCTATACTGACTGTTTGCTGATTGACTAATAGTTCTCATGGTCACTTAAGATTTGTTCAAAGGTAGTCCATAAATTACAGTCTCACCATCATTTTATTTGTCAACTTCTAGTTAAACATTATGTATGAAACTTATATTTGAAATGATCTCTGCGGTTGAAATTTAAATAATTCCAACATTTTGTCCAGCTAACTTGTCTGAACTTCTTCGAGGTATTACTCTGAATTTCAATCGCTGAGATTATTCCAAATATAATTTTCACACATAATTACTCCTCTATACTCGGCACCCAACTTCTGTCAAACTATTCATTCTAATCTTGACGAATATTCGTATAAATTCTAGTTAAACAGTTTAAGAATATTTTTTTCTTGCAGAATTAGCAATGAACTTAATTCATTATATACTTTTCACATATGTCCAACATGATAAATCAATGAATGTAGGAAATGATGAATAGTATAAAGATAAAGTAAAATGATTAAACTTAGTGAAAATTAAAGTGTAGTAAATTTATAAATCGTTCAAAGTAGAATGAAACGGATATTTATGCATAATTCTTTTTTCAAAATTCCCAATTTTTAAAGACGTTGTCTTCAGTGAGTTGGACAATTCAATCGTATATGTATTCATTATTGTTAGCGGGACATAGACTAGATTAAACCAAGCTCAATGCACGATCGTTTCGGTGCAAGCTGATTGGCTAATTCTTATCCAATCAGCACTAGTCGATAGTTGGAGAATACTCTATAATCTTCTAATGTAAAAAACTATAAATATACTGACGTTTTCCCCTATTGTGCTTCTTACTTCCATCTAACCTTGTTATTTGGAATATAATCTCTTTCCTGTTCAACCGTGTTCTGATTTGGGGACTTGTCGAGTGAATCGGTGTCCGAGAATACTAAGCAATAGGAATAGATGGGTCATAACCGTAAGAAGAGATTATAACAATTGTGTTTAGAGAATTGAGCTGTTAAAAATTCTATAAGAAATGTTTCAATACATAAAATATTGTGGTAGAAGAAGCAAAATGTCAAACTTTCAAAAACGTTGTGTTTATAACACATTCTGTGCAGTTATATGCATTCGTGGAATTAAACAAAAGAGTTTAAATATAAACACATTAGTTAATATTTTATTAGAAATTTTAAAGTCGATTAAAAGGTTTTCCAGGGTGGTCTAGCTTAAATCGACTCATAAATTTAACCATTAATTTACTAAAATTTCCACAAACCCTCACTCTGATAATAATTATCATGCGCTCACTAGTGACTGGCTTAAACATGTGTTTCCCGGAGTTGTAGTGAGTAAATGTGTCCAATAGAATCAAATCATGTCTTTTATGAGGCAGTTACATACTGAAAACAATAGTGGACAGTGGCGCAATCTTGTGAATTGGTTGAAATTAGAAATTAATACCGTTGTATGTCAGCTCTATCGTCTAGGGGTTAAGCATTTGCGAGTGAGACCGAAGGTCCTGAGTTCCAGTCCCGTGTGCCGGATCGTGGATACATACTGATAAGGAGTCCCGTACTAGGACTAGACAGACGTCCAATGCTTCCAGGTTTTTCATGGTGGTCTAGCTTTCATCGATTAATGAGTCCAACCATTAAATTACAACGATTTCCACAAACAATTCCACAGACAATTAACTATTTAATTTATGTGTGGTGTGTGCTACTTATATTTATCTGTTTTACTATTTTAAGATTAAATTCATTTCTTGTTCTAATTGATTGATGTGCTTCCTTTTACAAAATAAATTCCGTATAGAGAAATCAGTAGTTTTGTGATGTGTGCTACTTATATTGACATAAGTAGTAGACGATGTTAGTCAGGAACAGAATGTCTGGCAGCAGAGGGACAAGAAGATCAAACAGTAAAGAATGGAAACAGGATGTAATTTGTATGAAAATACAAGAACAATGAAATCTGAGTCATTATAAGACAAATGATGGATATTTTGCAAATTACGTATTTACTATTTGAGTGTTAGATTTTATTAACAAGTCCTGTAATTTTGTGTTAAGTACATTCGATTGTCCCCATCCGTGTTCGTGTTCACTACAGATGGACCTAAAAATCTACTTTGTTTAATACAAGCTAAATTCCTCTGAATTTTACACAGAATCATTACATAATTAATTAAATAATTCTCCAGAAAAAAAAGAACTAAAATCCTTAGAGCATAAATTATACACTCGAATGTTGTCAAACTAGTACCAAATCAACCAATTCCTCAATGAATGGATATGATAGTTGATTTCGGTGCTCATTTGTAGTTTAAACTAATCAAGGTCATATGATCGATTAACTGCTCATTGATTGGTTGAAAAGATTTAATATTATTTATACACATAAAGACTATTGGTTCAATTTGTAAATGTGTATGTGAACATTTATTTGTTTTTAGCTTTATCGTTCACTGATTGGCTTTTATAAATTAAAGGGCAAGTTCATCAATTTAAAAATTTGAATATAAATAAAAATTATATTTTTAAATATGGTTTTTAACAGTTTGTGGATATAATTTGTTATAATTCAGGGTTTACTATTACTACTGCTACACCAACAACAACAACAACTACTATTGCTACTACCTGATAACCGTTTATTATACCTACTACACTGCTACATAATTAAATAACTTCTAAAAGTGTCTATATTATCTGAAAATTTACTACAATCGTATAACGATCCAATTAACAACCAGATGATTACAAGCAATCAAAAGCGTTAGAATATCCATTTCAGTAGTAAACTCATATACACTATACAATATATATTATTTAAAGCTTTCATTATTATTTCGGTGTGAATTACAAAATAAATTAACTGTTAATAATAACTATATGGAAGATCCTAGTAAATCATTCAAATCAGAAGATAATTTGGGTAATCTGGCTTCATGGAGTACAATCACACAAACAACATCACAAACAATAACAAAACGTGATCGATGGAAAGGAAAAATTGATTTTCTCATTGCATGTATGGGATTTTCTATTGGTTTGGGTAATGTGTGGAGATTTCCTTACTTGTGTTATAAAAATGGTGGAGGTAAATTAATAAAATATTTTATAATTATTGTGATAATATGGTTAAGTTTATCACTCATTCAGTTTTTCGGAAGTTAAATCACAATAATGGTTGCTAATTGAAATGCTCTTAAATTCATAGGTTTTAATTTAAAAGTATAATAACACTGTAAACTAAAAATGCAGTATATTTTTAAATATTTGCAAAATCTGTTATATACAAGTAAATTAAAAGACTGAATGGTCAAGCCCAAATGACACTGATATATATTTACATATTTTACAAACGTTTTGGTTAGTTTAATTAAATCATTTTGAATATTCCAAATGATCTTTACCACGTGATGTTTTCGGAATATGACTGTTGTTATTATTCTGCTATTTTTAATTATCACTACGTAACTGAATTAAATAGTTCATTAAAAGTCAGAAAAGTAACTGATTATCTATTTTAAAAAAAACAATTCACATAGGGTCCCATAACTTAATTTCTTTGAGTGTTATTCAATCATTACACTTCAGAAATATTATGTACCATGTTATTATATGCTTGAGGAACTGCAAGTTCGTCGAATATAGTAGTAAAATAATACCATCATTATTATGGTAATAATAAGAGATGTATCCCATATAAAGTTTTACGAAGTTCGTTTGTATAGTAATTTATCAGTTACGAACAGTCAAAGCTGTATTCTCTAACTTTAAATCTTGATTAAAACCCATCTATCAAATCCGTAACGGGTATTATCTGCCTGTAAAACATACATTTTTGAAAATTAGAAAAATGTGTAGGCTTTTTTCGGTACTTGACCATGACTTAATTGAAAGTATTTCTCATTTTTGGTGTACCCTTTCGGACTAATAGCGTTAAAATTAATGCTGAAGTCCTGAGTACAGTAGAAGTCAGTGCTAAATAAATTAGAATATGAAATTATCTCATAAAGTAACTGACCATCGAAAAATACCCTCTTGTAAGATACCAGGACCCTCGTTAAGGTATATTCAATAACCGTAAACTATAGTTGAGATTACATAATGTGGCTAAAAACTAGATAGTGGATTTAAATTCATTCATTATCTTATTACTTTAATTCGTTCTTCACAAAATATATTCTTTTTGTTTTTGTGTTTACTACTGTTGATATTATATTCTCTACTTTTTAAATGATCATATGGCAGACTTCCTTTATCTAAGCACTGATGTGATGTTTAGTAATTTCAACAAACGCCTATTTGTTTTAGATCCTACATTATTTAAGATGAACTAAAATGATCACTGTCTACAAGTTCCATAGTAGTAAATTATACTAAATAATTGTGTATTGAATTCGACAGATATTTCCAAATTTACAAAGTACTCATTGTATTATGAATACTTTTTTCACAAATATTTTTTTTAAATAGTAAATTTAAATAGTCACAGTGTGGTGTGGGTTACTTATATTCACATAAGTAGTATATAACGGTGGTTGGACATAGGATGTATTTCATTAGAAGATCGATAAGGAAAAAACGGAACAGAACGCAATTAGTATGAAAATGCATGAAGAATAAAATTCGAGACAATGGACTGATAATTGTAAAAGGAAAAGTCAAGTTTGAAACGATGGATTGATATTTTGCAAATTAACTATTTCCTAAATGGTTCTAAGATTTTAGTGAGATGCTCTGTAATTTCGTGTCAAATAAATTCAATCATCCTCATTCGTGTTCTTATTCATTGTAACTAATTAGAGATTTTCATTGTAGTTTTAAAATATACAAATGAACTGAAGAAAAGCTGTATTAATCTTAATCTACATTTGTATCTTATAACTAGACAGCATTTATAACTCAATAGATTCAAGCTTTTCAAACTAAAAGAAGAAACAAAAACTTGAAAAGAAATACATTATGAAATAGGTAAAACATATTTATTAGGCATGAATAATGCAAAGACAGTTTGAATTATTAAGTATATAAATGTAATAAAAGCTCTTAAAGGCTTTAATGTTACAAACATTCTTGTTCATATCACGTTTATGGACTTTTAGACTAGACTAAATGCTTTAGAAACTTAATGAATCAATCATTCCTTCAATTGGAACATGGTGGATTTTTTTATTTATAAAAAATTATATCGTCTTATTCGTAAGTTAAGTTAGAAGGTTTACTTGATTTAACATGTGACTTATTAAACTTTAATATAATAAAGACTAAACATTTATCGTCTGTATACAATTGTATTAATAACAGGGAGTGTATGGTAGATATAATTTCATCCTGAAGTATCGTACAACATCTTTGAAACATGTTAAGTAAACATTTGTAGACTTTATACTCAACGCCCAAAATACTATGAAATTATTTGATCAAATTAAGACGAAAGTTCCTTCATATCCATTTTTCCTCTTTTCAAATTTATTTCACTGGAAAAACCTCTTCAAACCCTAATCTTTCCTATTACTGCTTATACTTTGACCATCTCTGTCACTACGGGATTCGAATCGACAATTGTATCTCTGTGCTAATGTGGTATAGAAACTCGAACTGATGTACGTATGTACAAAGTTCTACGTTGTTACTGACTGACTGAAGACGAAAGTTCTTATATGTTTGTACTGATTCTGTGTAAATTATTATGAAAAAACATGTGAAATAGTGTTACATACTAAATAGATTTTCCAAAATATATTCATATCTGATCATTTTGTTACTTTACATAATTTAAAGTAGATTTAGAATGTACTGCACTTTTTTAACACTTTTCTTTTCAATTAAACATTGATTGTGTGATATTCACACAAGAAATTTCTTAATTGCTGGAAAATAATAAATAATATCGTTATGTTTTCTGAAATCAGAAATTCAAGAAAAAACTTCTTATCATGCTGCAGTTTAGATTGCTATAATGATAATCATTGAACAGAATAAGAAGTTTAACATTTACACTAATTACTGACATCAAACAACTTGTTCACGATAATCATTATTACAGACATTGTTAAATAAGTAATAATTGATATAAGCATATCATCAGTAACTGGATGTTGTAACGGGTGAGACTGCAGGTTTTGACAAGCAACGTTTTATATCGATCGCTTCTGTGACACGTAGTGAACGACCTAGAGTCCCGATTGGCCCTGCTTCGCTGTCTAGCCCAGCCATTTGAGTCCAGAACGCAAGTCACAGCGTCTGAGATATGAATCATTATATTTCAAACATACTCTGTTTATATACTAACCAAGCAGACCACATCGTACCATAAAAATAGAAAACAACATTTACACAATATTAAACAAGTGAAGCAAATATCGATCAATAGGGAATGTACATTTAGCGTCCAAGGACAACATTAGACTTAACATGATAACTATTGGTATATTTTTCTGCATATCCTAACACTGGACATTTAATCTTTGGTTAAGATTATTCAATAATGTATTAGCATTTACCTAGATAGATGATAAAGGAATTCAGGTTGATAAATTTAATAAAATCCTGATGAAAATATTAAAAAAAAGAATTATCATGAGAATATTATGGGTCTATGTGAACAAGAGAATATATGATTAATATGACTAATGAGTTGTCTGGATTTCCAAAGATAAATTTAGATAAGGTTTGAAATTTATGGAAAACATTTTGAGTCAGGGTGTATACATTCTGTTTTTAACATCCTTTTAAGTTGATAAAAGAAACTTCAATATATCTGTTGATCTGAGCTAATCTATCAATGTTTTTATCATAGGATGCTCTATTTATGATGTTGTAATTTTAAAGCTTCTTTCAAGATTTTTATGCTTTAGACATTCCTACATTCGTGAAGGAGGGTTATAATTTAACATAATTAATACATGATCAATTAATATTTATTATGTAGGGAAATCATTAGAAAAGCGATTTCAAGATGATAACAAAACAGTCCCGAATTCGTCAGAATTGAACGAAAATCTCATTCATAAACCTTTTTATCTGAGAAACTGGTTAGTCCATATTCAAATGCAAATCTCACAAAATAATGTATAATTAAAGTAATTTACTTAGAACTTGAAAACGACTATTATATTATAGTGTTATCGTTATACGAATTCCCAGATTTATGCGATAACAACTGCCCACATCACTATTGCCAATAAATTAATGATGTTTCAGAGAAATAAGATCTTGCGATAATATATACAAACTACAAATATTTCATCAATGAATGGAGTGAAGACATGATTTTCTTTATCAAATAAAACACGTTCACCCTTGTTTTATTCAAATAAAACTTTTCTAAAACTAACAAAGAATGCATATTAAAGAACTTTTTGAATTTTATTTAGGAGCCTTTCTTCTACCTTACTTCGTCAGTGTGATCGTTGCGGGTGTACCATTATTTCTTCTTGAAGTTGCTTTGGGTCAGTTTATGTCTAAAGGAGCTATTGCAGCCTGGGATATTTGTCCACTTTTTAGAGGTATGTGTGTTTAAAATTTAAGAAGCCAGATATCGATTTGCCATTAAAGAAATATCTTTAATTTATACTAATTGCCAAACTAAATTTCCCTGTTTTTATTTTTACTTCACAGGTATTGGATGTGCTAGCACTATGATAAACTTTTTGGTGAACAGTTATTACACAGTGATTCTGGGTTGGGCATTTCATTTTATTTTCGCTTCATTCAGTAAAGAACTTCCGTGGGCTAAATGTGGACATTCCTGGAATACTAACTCATGTATTGATGGTGTAGTGAGAACAAATTTAAGCAATTCAACATCACTTCTCCGTCAACATATATTGGGAGCTGATCCTGCTTCAGAGTACTGGGAGTGAGTTCGTATACTCCGAAACTCTCTTCATGGGGCTCAGTTAGTCGTTTTATATTCTACACGACTAAATTACGTGTTTACTCATATGGTGCAGCTAATGATCTAATCAAATGCTGCTTGGTAAGCACTCATCAGGAACTTGTAATAAACGGTTCTCAGTGCTACCATGCTAGCGATCTTATTAGCTTAACGTATTATTTTTATGAGTTACTTTATTCTTATAAACATTAATTCTTATTTTAAAGATTAAGCTAAACATTCTCTACTATTAATCAACTTATCGCTTTCACTTGTAAAAGTATACATTAACATTAAGTAGATTATATGACATTGAAAACAAATTGTCTGGATTGAATAAAATAAAGATCTCATCAAAATGTCATTAAAAATGTCTGTACAAATATCTTCCGTTAAATTGTGCTTCACTCCAAACCTTTTAATACTGATTTCGCTACCCTTCTTACATATTTCAGTAGATCAATTCTACCACACACGGTAAAAAAGCTTCAGACGGTTTAAAGAAATTATAAGCAATTAGTATTCAGCTGTAATTCATTAAAATGTGTTTAGTTCAACCGAGATATAATAACTAACAGGTTTAAATTTGAAATGTAAAAGTTTCAAAGTTGATAGTCAGTTTTTAGCGCAATGAAGTTGTTTTAATGTAAATGGATAAAGTAAACTTTAATTTATGAAAACTCCGAGAAGTAAAACTTAAGCACTATTTGAACTGTAGTACATCAGAAATCTAATTTATTATTATAAATTAATAAACTAACCTAGGAATAGGTGTTGGTAGCTATCAAAACCTATTATTATAAAGCTTTTACACTTAAAAATATGGTTACTGTATTCAATTTTCAGTGTGAGCATCAACACTGAGGTGTAGATACATCCAGATGTGAAGTGTCAAATAGCAAGAAACGTTAATTGAAATTGTACTTCTATCCATTTACATAATATGAACCTTGAAACGTAGAAAATATTCGTTTATCCACCTGTAAACTTTACTAACACAAATTCATAAACTATGTTCTTGTATATTAACATTTGATTTCATTGAAATTAATCTTTGAAAAAAATAGAGTTCTTTATCATTTTCTCTGAAACAATTCAACTTACATATAGAGATACGAAATCATTTATACGTCACTGATTGCTTCCATAAAACAATGTGAATTGGTTTTGCTCATCAAATTTCCATTCACTATAATATATGAACCCGACTGATATTCAAAGCTTATTATGAGATTCTATTGATTTCTAATATTAACGAATACTTTCTATTTAGAGTATACAATCAGAAACTAAAATATATCATAATTAGTTTACTGAGACTATTATTTGTTTATTCGATGTTTCAACTTCAGTAAGAAATTCATTGAATGTATTGTGATATACGAAAAACTATACTCATTATATTGGTCCAAAACAAAAAAACAAAAACAAACTTGAACTCAAAATGTAAATAAATAAACAATAATGTATGATACTAGATAGAGTTTATTGTATGAATGCGTTCCCAATAAATTATTAACAATGAATCACAAATTACTGAAAGTCAATAGAATGAAAAGTTGCCAATATTATTACGTCATTGTAATTGTGTGTAAATAACAATCGTATATAAATAGTTTATTATCTATATGTATGAAATTAAGCTTAGAAATAGTCTTCTTCATGATATCAATATCTGATGATACATTTTCTATTGCATTTCATGGCTATATGCTATATAATTTTAGGAGTATATCTTTCAAATGACTTATTTAATAGCTTTAATGAAAACAAAATGTCGAGTTAAAAAACTTGGAGAATGTTAGGTAATAAATAATTCAAAATCTTGAACTTATGCTCCCTAACCAAAATATTCCTCATGTATTAACGTAACTGGTATTCCTCGTGAGGTTTAAACTTTGTTTAATCCGTTTCAGAGACGTTAATGCTAGGCTATTAGAGCTGTAAATAACTCTTTGTATGATTACAATATATCTATTTAGTAATCAGTGAATAGTGGTTATTGTCATATTTCTGTAGTCCTTAGTGCTGATGGAAATTCACTGAAATATGGCTACTAATTTAAGTAACTGAACATGACGTAGACTAAGTTTTGATGTTAACTGATTGAAATAAGTCAACCGTGATATGGAATATAAATTAATGGCTCAGACGGTTAAATCGTATGTGATTATTTTATTAAAACTAAAGTTGATTGCCTGTTTAAGTGTCCTATCCGACGTCAAGTAATTTTTTTGATTTAAATTCAGCAAGAACGACATTGTTCTCAGGATGCGATGAATTCATTGTATCTTGTTACTTGATCTTCAGTTATGCATTAGTTTGTATATAGATGAACGACAAACAACGGATTACAATGAATTCATCGTATCCTGCAAATATTGTTATTCTTGCTTTATTTAAATTAATGAAGGGAACCCGTTGCATGAATTTCTTAATTGATATTTATTCGTGAAAAGTCTGTATTATTGTGTCCTAATATTTATTTTTTGAAAATGACCTATAGTTGTTTGTAAAGGTTTAAAACTTAAACAAATTGTACGTTTACACATGAACTTATTTTTCATTTGACACAAAGAAACAATGAAAATAAGAAGTTAAGATCTTGAACCGATCATTGTCAGACCACAATTAAAAACCTGAAAACACCAAAGGGTCGTTCCGTCCTGGTGATGGACTCCACATTAGTGCACATCCACAACCCCATATGTGGGGTTAAAACCTAGGGCCTTCGGTCACGCACCCTATCGCTTAACCTTTAGTATAATAAGCCGGCATCCAGTAGTGTTAATGTCTAAGTTCGACTGATTCACCGTAATACGCGACTTAGTCGTGTAGAGGTTAACTGTTTGCACACAAGGCCAAAGGTCCTGGGCTTCAATCCTGAGTGCGGGATCGTGGATGTGTATTGCTGAGGAGTCCCATATTAGGACGAAACAGCCGTCCAGTGCCTACAGGTTTTCTGTGGTGGTTTAACATTGATTGATTCATGATCTCAAATATAGCTCAATAATCTTTACAATTCTATATTGAAAATGGAAATATACATTGATAATGTTTATTTTAGCTAAAATTAATTTAATCTAACTGAAGTAAACAACTTCTATTAGACATAAATAATCCAAAAAAAGATAAATATTATTCTTTTTACTCTAAAGTTATTTTGCCGTTAAACTCTATTGTTTATTTTAGACTTAATAAATAACTTCCAAATGTACTTAAATATATACTAAATACATAATAACAATTTGGTTATTTCAAGAGTTGAGATCATGAGCCTGTTAAAGCTAGACCACCATGGAAAACCTGGAAGCACTGGATGGACGTTTCATCCTATTGTGGTGCGAGATTCAAACACAGGACATATCAGTCTCGCGCCAGGCGGTTAACCAACTAAACCACTGAACCGGCATCCAACGGTGTTAATGTCTAACTTCAACTAATTCACAAAATTGACAGACACATTCACCATTATCATCAGTGAGTTATTATCTCACAACTGGCCCGGTTGAACGCCACTGGTCACTGCTTCTCAATAGAACTCCACGAACTACCTCTTGAAGCCAGTCACTAGTGAGCACATGTTGAGGAGTCCCACAATAGGACGAAACGGCCGTCTAGTGTTTGGAGGTTTTCCATGGTGGTTTAGCATCAATTGACTCATGATTTCAACTATTGAAATTACTACAATCTCTACAAAACCTCCTTCTGATACTAATTAAGTTATTTATTAATTGTTATTTATATCCTTTCATTCATCATAGAAATCGTGTCTTACGAATATCAAATGGTATTGATAATTTAGGAACAGTTCAATGGGATTTAGCATTATGCCTTTTATTAGCATGGACAATAATATTTTTAGCAATATGTAGAGGAATAAAAACATCTGGAAAAGTAAGTTTAATAAATTTATTGAAATTATATTATATAAAAATTGAAATATGTAGTTAATATTCTAATATAAATAATTGAGATCATTAAAAAAGATTATTACTGATAACAAATTAATCAATAATCAATATGAATAATTTTATTCTTTATTATGAACTTATTACTTAAATGAATAGTAGTATATCAAATATTTAGTTAATAATTAGAAAGAATTATTATTTCAATAAAAAAAAAAAGAATAATACTATACCTTAACAATATTATAATGAAAGAATAATTAAATAATCTTTCCTAGTTGATTTAATGACAGAATAAATGAATTATTAATATCTATAAAGGTTAAGTTTCTATCCCAAATGAATTATATTAGTTATAAAGATAGATATACAATATGAAGTGAAGTGATATTCTATAATCATTTTAAAAAAAAGATATGAACTAAACGTTCTGTTTGTCAATATTATCACAAATTAGGTATTATAGAATGTTATAGTATGATTGAAACTATAATGTATGAAGACAATCAGATAGAATTTAATATTTTATGAATTCTGGGTTCTGATTGTGTTTTTTTTCTTCTTCAACAACGTTGTTTGTATCATCTTGGATAGTGTATGAACATTTGTTATTGGTTTAAATTGTTCTTATATTGTTTTATATAAATGAATAAAATTAATTTCATAGTATGATTTACTCTAAAGCCATTACCAAGCCATATATTTGTAATGAAGTAGTATAAAAGATTTTATTATTAAAGACTCTTATTCACATAGAACTTTAACAGATTGATTCAAATTAATAGTCATTTTGAAAAAGAAAAGAAAAAATCTAACAAGGAAATAAAAGTAGAAGTCTGATCATTTTGGATACAAATTATAAAGAGTTGATCCTAATAGAAGTATAATTTGGATTCTCATAAATATCTGTTTTATCTACTTTTGGATATGATGTCAGTAGGTTTAATGAATAATGAATTCTTGATTGATATAATTTGTTAAATGAATTGTGCTTATACACATTCTATGTGGTCTAATTATGAACTACAAAGCTAACCGATACGTCTTAGGATTTAGTATATCATCAAATAAAATTATGTTAAAAACATTTAGAATCGTTGAGTCTGAGCTTAAAATCTAAATAATGATACAAGAAATTAAAGGTAATTTCACTGTTTTCACACAAAAATAATTTCTCATTCATGTTATAGTGTACTAATTAGGATGGTGTTCAGTTATTCGTTTGAAATTGTTTATCAATGTTTTAGTCATAATTGTGCTGATTAAGCTTTCTTTTTTACATGATTTATACAACAGTATGAATAAATGTAATCTTTGTAAATGAACATTCGCTTATATTCAGTTTAATTATATAAGCAAAAGTCCATTAGTAAATGGTGGCTAATTGCTAAAATTTATATTCATTATACTACTTAAATATGTTCACAATTATTTTCCAAGTTTTCATTCTTGGTTACGCTTTAGTCGTGCTAAAGTCTGTTCATTTTTTCTAGAACAACAGTAATGCGAGTCATTATGCTAAGCTTTGATGACAATAACTCATTGTATTATTGAGAGATGGATATAGTTTAAGAAACGAAAATAAATAAACGCGTACTGTTAATATTACAATTACATAAAGATTTAATTGTGTACAAAACTTCTAAGTTTGGAAATTTGTCGACTGTAAACTAATCGTCAGCATAGTGCTATCCGACGATTAGAGACAAAAGGTTTAAAACTAGCAGATCAAATTGATTTTAACGTTGTAGATGGAAAAACATATCAGATATAACGCCAAGCATATTAATCAAGATTGATAAACTAATGTAGCATAATTAATAATAATCGAAATAATTGATTACATAATCAAAATAACAGTGATAAGTAACTGCATAGATACATTAGGTAATTACGACAAAACCAACTTAGTAGGTGTGTATCAGTGTAGATAATGTGAAAAGTATAAGATTACGCAACAGATATAACTCCGTAATTTGAATTGTTTACAAAACAACAACGAAAGATACTACACATTACTTCTGTAGACATAAGTAATATTGAAAACAACTGATGGTCGTTATTTGTGCAGTGCAATGTAAAAGTAATTTCTCTTGTTTTTACTTGGTTATTGCATGTTCAAAAATCATATTTTCTATTAGATGTAATTTTACCCATTGCTAATAACCAAAGATTGTTACGTAATGTTAAAGTTAATTTAATTTATAATTTATTTCCGGAAAGATTGATTATATGATAATTATCTTCCTGTTCACTTCATTTTCATTTTAGATTATGTATATAACTGCAACTACACCATATATATTCATGATTATATTACTTATAAGAACAGCTCAGTTAGAAGGAGCATTAAATGGTATAACCTATTATTTAAAACCAGATTGGGATAAATTAACAGATATGACAGTAAGTAATATTTTTTACATTGGGGATGTACATATGTAAAACTTAATTTTGTAAATTTCCTGTGTTTTTCTTTCATTTCGGTTAACAGACAATAAAATAATGAGATGTTCTCAAAAGAATGACTTTAATTTTGCTACACAGCAATCGTTAACAGCTGACATATTCTTTATTTCAAAAACTTACCAAAATGCTTACAATTTAGGAAGAAAAAAGGAGAAGTCATTCTGAATAAAAATGGATGATAGCTAGCAGTGGAATCCAGGAAGCGCGTTTCGTCCTATTCGGGACTCGTCAGCTGAATGTACCTCGAGGCAATACTGAGGTTATTAACAGAACATGTACGTATGCCAATAAAAGACTGATCAATCATAGCCGTAAACATCAATGGAAAGGTTCAATTAAACAATACAAAAATGAATTAAAATCAGTTCTGATTTATAAAGGGTGGCCTGCCTGAGCATATGGGTTACCTGTTCCTGACATCTAGATATTTCAACAATTTATCTATTTTTGTTTGTTTTAATATATCATTATGTTTATTAATCGCATAACCTATTCTGCTGCGTTTCTGAAAAGTGTACAACCTTTCGTTGTCAAAGTTACAAAAAACTCAATAAGAGATAATGTGGTAGCTGGCAATATACAGTGAAAAGAATGCACATTATTCAGATGTTCATTTACTGAACTGCTAACATCTAACTGGCGATCACTCGATATTTATCGCTAAGACCGACCAAGAAGAAAGAAACGGAAACTTGTTGAAATACTTTACGCTGAGAATTCTATATTGTACCAAAAATATAATATTGAACAAAGCTGACAATAGTAATGATAATAACCGGTGCAAATGTTTGATAGTTACAATAAAGTTATAGTTCTTAGTGGTGAATCCTAAATAAACCAAATTCAAAATTTATAAATTATACTCTTTCACTTTCTAATAAAAAGAAATGTCAGTTCATTCTTTTAGATATCACATTTTGTATTGTTATGTTTACTGATTCGTTATGAATTACATAATAACATGCTCTTATATACTCTGAGTTATCCAGTATAAAACTTTTATTAAAATGAATTGTTGAATATGCAAGTCTTTTTGGTTTTAATTAATCAAAAGTACAAGTTAAAAATTTCCATTGTATAAATTCAAGTAAATATATTTTTCTTCTTCAATATAACATGTAAATAACGATTTAGTTTATGAAAACTAAAGAAGTTAACAGTATTATTAAAGACCTAAAAAAAGACATTCCATCATTCGTCTCAAATTTATTTGGATCCATTGTTAGATGCAATTACTTAAACATATTTAGATTGAACTTTGTGTTGACAAGATTTTTCTTTACCAAATTTTAAAATGTTCTTTCTTATTATTTCAACTAAATTATAATTATATTTAAAAGAAATTAAAACATTTTTAATATCAGAATGGGTTTTGTGGAGATTTTTAGAAATTTCACAGGTTGAAATCATGAATCAATTGAAGCTAGACCATCATGGAAAACCTGGAAGCACTGGACGGCCGTTTCGTCCTAGTGTGAGACTCCTAAGCAATGCGAATCCGGCTCTGTGGTCTAGTGGTTAAGTGCTCGCGAGCGAAACCAGTAGGTCCTGGTCTCGAATCCTGTGGGGTGCGGAATCGTGGATGCGCACTGCTGAGGAGTCCCATACTATGACGAAACTGCCGTCCAGTGCTTCCAGGTTTTCCATGGTGGTCTAACTTCAATTGATTCATGATTTCAACCTGTGACAATTTTAATAGTTGAATTCATGAGTCACTTAAAGTTAGATCATCATGTAAAACTTGAAAACACTAGACGACTGTTTAATCTTAGTATGTGACTCCTCAGAAGTGAGCATCCACGATCTTGCTCAGAACCTATCGGTCTTGCACGCGAACGCAATTTTATGGATTGATTGAAATTAGACAATAACATGATTGGATGTTATCTTTAGTGATCTAGAGATTAATCTTTCACAAAACCGTCATCTAATACTTTTAGACTTTCCATGATGATCTAGTTTTAATTGACTCATGAATTCAATTACTACAATTTCTACAAAACCTTCTTTTTAATCAAACATTTTTATTCAAAATTATAAAATTATACAATTAATATACTGATATAATTATTCATATTAGAGTAAATAAAAAAAATAAAGTTTTAATAAATATAATCATGAATTAAATATTTAACTAAAATAATAAATAATTTAACAATTCATTAATCACTAATGATATTGAACTTTTATAGCGACTCACGTGCAATTGAGTTTGATCTCATTTAACTCAGTTAGGCCTTTGGTTAACTTATTTAGCGGACAAAGTCATCCACACTATAACAATTTATTGTACCTTTATTATTGTTGTGCTTGTATGAAATATGTATGCTTGAACATTGCTTGTCGCCTACGCACATATTCATTCTGCTAGCTTTATTATTAACTGCTTAATTGATTCAATGATCCAATCATTTCCCTATATATATACATGTATATATATATTATATTTACACTCGCGGTTCGCTGACTCACTAATTTTCCTCACTGCTTTGTGATCTGAGTTATCTGCTAACAAAACTGTAGTCTCTGCTTCTCTTTACCTCCTGATTTCAAACACCGTTGATGATTATATGGTAACGGTTACGAAGGTGATTGGTTAACGAAGCACAGCCTTTACACTTTGCATTATTGATTAATTAATTAAATTCAGCTTCTATAGCATTACAATTATAGAATACATCATAGAGATGATCTAAATTTGATTAAATAATTATTTATTTATTTCTATTAAGATAATATAAATAACTTACAATGTGAATAATTAAGAAACTATATTGAATAAACTACTTAAAATAATTTAGATTATTATGTAATTAAATAGAATAAATTATCTGTTTATAATATCAATCTATTAATTATTAACTTAAGTTTAATTAGTTATTATAATTCATGATTTATATAAAGGAATAAATTATTGTTTTCAGTTTTTCTCTTTTTGTTGTTGTTTGTTTCTTCTTTTAAATATTTACCTTGAAAAAAAACTCACGCCTGTTACTCCTCGTGAAGGAGCATAGGCCAATCACCAGCATTCTCCATCAAACCCTGTTCTGGTCAATCCTTTCCAGCTCCTTCCATTTGTTATTCATCTTTTTCATATCTCCTTCTATTTCTCGACCTAGTCTGTTCTTTGGCCTTCCTCTTTTCCACCTTCCTTCAAGATTCCAAGTTAGGGCTTGTCTCGTGATGCAGCTTGACGATTTGCATAATGTATGTCCTATCCATCTCCATCGTATCCTAATTTCTTCTCCAACTGGAAGTTGATGTATGCTCTCCCACAGGAGGCTGTTGCTGATGGTATCTGGCCAATGGATGTTGAGTATCTTGCATAGACAACCATTTATGAATACTTGTACCTTCTTGATGGTGGTTGTTGTAGTTCTCCAAGTTTCAGCTCCATACAGTAGAACTGCCTTGACATTCGTATTGAAGATTCTGACTTTGGTGTTGGTTGGCAGTCAGTTGTTTTGAGTTCCATATATTCTTCAATTATAGGAATGCAGCCCTTGCTTTGCCAATCCTCGCTTTTACGTCTGCATCTGATTCTTCTTGTTCATCGATGATGCTTCCCAGGTACATATAGGATTCTACATCTTCTAGAGTTTCGCCATCAAGTGTGGTTGGATTGTTCTTTCTGTTGTCTTTGAGGACCTTGGTTTTCTTCTTGTGTATGTTGAGGCCTACTGACGCAGAGACTGCTGCTACACTGACTGTCTTTATCTGCATTTATTTGTGTGTATGCAATAGGAGGGTAGTTCATCTGCGAAGTTCAAATCGTCGAATTGGTCCTGAGCTGTCCATTGTATTCTATGTTTGTCCTCAAATGTCAAGGTCTTCATAATCCATTCGACCACCAGAAGAAAGAAGAACAAAAGAGGAACAGAGCCAAGTTCCTTGAAAAAAAAGATGAATGATAATTCATTGAAATCCTATTCAAACTTTTTTTGTTTTAAAATATAAGACAAAGGTTGTATTTCTAAAGCACTTTCTAAATTATTATTATTATTATTACAATTTTTATTACAATTCATTGATTTTTCAAGGTATTCACTATTATTACAGTGATTTCTATCGACATGTGTTATGAAATGTACTTTTATGTAAATCAAATAGAGAGGGGAAATTTTCGAAAACTTTAATCAATAAATTGACAAATATTATATCTATACTACTGATATCTATTATAAGTTTGGTAAAAAACAAGAACTAAGAATAATCTATTTTCTTTTTAAACATAAAAGAACTAAATGATTAGTGTACGTTTAAACAAAGTGATAATAAAAAAAGAATGCAGGTTAAAAAAATAAGTTTTGACAAGCCAGTAAAAAGTATAGTTAAAATAGATTATTAAATGATGTAGAATCTGATTAAAATTGTTTAAGTATATTGTATTCTAACTTACAAGTTGAAATATTATCTGAACTGAGACTAAATTTTAGATGTAAAAATAATAAATGCAGTTCAAAAAGTAGTGAGCTTCAATTAATTCAGTTGTTCAGTCAGCTACAATGTAGTTGTCATACCTTATTAGCACATCAAGATCAACACTGAATTCATAGAAGTAGTTACTTCACTGGTAGTAATATATAAAAAAGAGATTGTGTATAACGATATGATACAGGAAGAAAGAATTAGTTGATAGAAAGAAAGATGTAAAATAATTTTAATCTCATAGTTTAAGAGAAGACAAAGAGTATGTACAGCTGCGTTATTGTAATTGATTCTGGGCCATGTCACCCAATGTCTCCATCCATTGGTTATGATAGTCACGGTGACCTTAATTAAATAGTCTGCGTCTAATAACATAGCTTAGACTAGAAGTGAATGACTTCAAGCACTGATACCATGTTTTTGTTAAGTTCAAACCACTCAACTCAGTCAAATTAAAGTACCATTCTGTGAAAGTATATACAGAACACAATATTTAATCAAACTTGATGTGAATTATTTTATAAAACACATATCAGTCGTAGTTTGTTTTGTAAGGTTATATATATACTCTACAATTGTCTTCTTTTTATAGATTACTTCATAGTTTCCATAAGAAATTAATAATGTTCTGATAATATCCAAAGTTATTGAGTATTGAATAAAAGAAAATTAGTGCTAAATTAAAATTCATAACGATATTTGTCTCATATCTACTAGATAAGTTTTTGTATAGACATCCACGCATCCACGATCCCGCCAGCGGGATTCGAACCCAGGGCCCTGGATGGATGCGCACTGCTGAGGAGTCCCACAATAGGACGAAACAGCCGTCCAGTGCTTCCAGGTTTTCAATTGTGATGGTTTAACATCAATTGGTTCATGATCTCAATCAAAAACTTAAATTCTTTTATATATTTTAATGAAATTCCAATGAACTATTATATATTGGTTAAATATTGATTTTCATTGTTTGTAAGTGAATTTTGACACATTTGATATATATTATTTCATTTGTATCTATAGTGATATTAAACAAAATGTATGTAGACTATATTCGAAGAAAAAAAAGGAATATGCAACAATTATATAATATTAGAGATAAGATTTTAACTTTATAAAACTTTTTGTTCAATTTTGAAGAAAAAAAAGATGTTTTTCTTTAAAAATAAATTATTTGACCAACAATCATAATGAAATATATTTATATCATATTTGATAGTTAGTTGCATGATATTGAGACATAAATTTAATTAGTGTATTAAATAATAATTTTAGACTGTCATCGGAGACATTATTTATAGTCACTAAAAACGAGTTTAAATGGTTTGAATAATTTTTCCTGGTTAGCGTTTTTCTTTAGTGAGTTAATTTTCTACGGAATGGGTTCACTAACCCCATGCTCAACCCTCCTTCTTTAACCGAGCTTGAGACCGGCAGTTGCTTCAGGTGGGGGGAGTCCAGGCGGAGTAAGGGCAACATATCTACAATTGAAGAACATCTGGAACTCAAAACAACTGTTAACCAACATCAAAGTCAGAATTCGCAATACAACTGTCAGGACAGTTCTACTGTTTTGGGGAAGAAACTTGGAGAACTACGAACGTCATCAAGCCATACAAGTGTTTATTAACAATTGTCTACGCAAATTACTTCGAATCTGTTGATCAGACACTATCAACAACAATTTGCTGAGGGAGAGAATAAGCCAGATTTCAGCAGAGGAAGAAATCAAGAAGAAGTACTGGAAGTGAATAAGAAACACAACAAGGAAAACACATAACTGTGTTACACGACAAACCCTTACTTGGAGTCCTCAAGGTCAAAGGAGGAGAGGAAGATCAAAGAACACATAACGCCAATAAACGGAGACAGACGTGAGATGAATGAACAAAAATTGAATAGAACTGAAAAGAAAGGCTCAGGACAGAGCGGGTTGAAGAATGCTGGTCGTCGGCCTATGCTCTATTGGGGGTAACAGGCGTAAGTAAGTAAATGAATAAACTAAAAAGAATTTTAAATATTACACTAATCTATGTAATTGAATACTTTAGGATAAATATATGTCATACTAAAAATGAGAATAAAACTTATTAAAACTATAAGTGGAAAGTAGAATGATCCTTTTTTTTCTTGAAAGGAAATTTTAATAGTATACTGAAACTAGACTAAACCAATATACATTCAAGGGACCGGTTAGATGTAGTTTGTCGAAAAATTTCCCTTTATGTCTAAACTTTATTGGTGATTTCATTCAATTTTCACTATTCTCCAATCTGTAACTAGTTTTCATATATGTGTATTTTCAGATTCCCTTATATATGCCGAATAAAAATGAATAATATTACAGAAAAAAAGCCTTTATGATAATGATTTGTTAATAATCTGTAGTAAATCAATCTATCTATGATTTTTATTTACTACTATGATCAAATTATATAACATATTGAAATAGAAATGTTTAATACTATACAGTCTATCGACGGATTAAAAGTTTAGTTTTTCAACCAAACTTCCATTAAATAACATTAATTTTTATTCGATCTATTGTTTATTGTGTTCCTAACACATAACAGTTGTTCAATATTCATGTAAGTTTCAATTCGCTCATATATACTGTCTTAGTTTAATGATTCCAGATAGTTCAGTTTTCCTTTAGTATGAACACATCAATAAACATGTCTGAAAGTAGTACAAGCCATATTTACTAATCTATTCATTGATTGAAAATAATGATATTTAATGTTTAGAGTCTAATTAAATGAGCATTCTATACAATATGAAATCAAATGAAGTATTACTTGTTTTATTCTAATCGAACTTGTATTGTGGTATGGATATATTCTAGGGAAAAACACCAAACTAAAACGAAACAATTGTTACGCAATAACTCATTTTCAATGAATTCTGTGGTTAATGTAGATTCTTTACTAAAACTGTTTGTCTACTTTGTTGTTTAACTTGTTTTTTCCCCCATGTTTATTGATCTTGTTAAAAACAAATTCTACAAAAGGTCAAATGAAAATTTATTTGGAGAACAGAATGATCTTTCTAGATAAACAATCCTTAATTTAAAAAAAACAAACAACAATACTGTTCTTCAAATCCCAAGTTTTCTTGCCCATTTTACTAACTGCTTCGAATTGTGAAATCATACTGTTTACTTTCCTTCAGTAGATTTTTTAGAACATTTTTGAATTATTGTTCTTTATTGTTTATATATTATTTAAAAAATTGATTATTTACAAAACTTTCTGTTTACATAACCAAAATTATAAATAAACAATAAGCGTATGTACCAAGATGAAAAAATAATTATGACTTACTAGTCCTAGACCATGAATATCTGTCACTCTGGGTCTATGAGTATTCATTGTTTGAATTATCTGAGCTAAATGACAAGTACTTCATATGAATTTATAAATATTTGCAACAAAAGGTTCATAGTCAATAGATAAATAATTAACAATCTTCAGTTTAGGGGTTGTGGAGATTATTAAGTTCTTGATTAGGATCATGAACTGATTGATGTTAGGCCACCGTTGAAAACCTGAAAGCACTGGACGGCCGTTTTGTCCTATCATGGGACTCCTCAGCAGTGCACATCCACATTAAGACCATTGAATGCCGGCTCAGTTGTCCAGTAGGTTAAGCGTTCGCGCATGAGAGTGAAGGCCATGGGTTCGATTTTCCGAGAGCGGGATCGTGGACATACTTCTGAGGAGTCCCATAATAAAACGAAACGGCCGTCCCGTGCTTCCAGGTTTTCAATGGTAGCCTAACATCAATCGGTTCATGATCTTAATCAAAAATTAATAATCTACTAGACGTCCTTTTATTAGGTTGTTCCTTAATTTTCGTTCATTATACACTTGATCTCCTTAGAGCGTTTGTCAAAATTATAATTGTTTTTCCGAAATGCATTTTTCCTATTAAAAGTTAAGAAATCTATACTCAATATAATAATTCATTCGAGGGATATTTCCGTGAATTCATTTCATTTCTGACTAGATATTTCATACAGTGAAAATCTTTTGAACCCAAGTAGTTATACTGTAGATTTCTGTAAACTACCTTGATTATATTTTTAGACGACTATGTAGTGAATGAGTTTCAGTTGGAGGAAACCAATTGATTGTTGAATACAATATTACACAGTTCCTTAGCAAAATATGAAAATCATAAATTAAATACATCATTTGCATATCTACTTTGCATTGTTATTTCGATTGCTCACCGATTTCTTTTCTGTTCTCTTTAATCCAATCTTCTGCTGCCAATCATCCCACTTCCGATTGCAGCTGCATGCTACTTACATCTGTCAACATAGGCAGCATAAACCACAACTACGGGATTGTTGATGCTATGAAATGTAACGTTAATCTGAAAAAAACTGTTTAAATTTTCACCTATATGTGCTACTGTTTAGTAAATAGAGGTTAAAATTTATAGAAAATACATGAAATTACTTCGTTTGAGAAGGCAATGAAAAAAAATCAGTTCCAAAAGCATATTTCCCACCATTATAAATAAGTGGGTTTCAATAAACAAATGTATCAACTCAGAAGAGGTTACATACGATGAATAGTTTACCCTCTTTCTCATATGGGATACAACCCATAACCCTATTAGTTATCTGATGGGTATATATGCTTATGAGTCAAACACACAACTCACATGAACGTTTTGTAATAAATCACTTTCTAAGCATTGATAAAAATTGCTCGACATTAAAAATTCTTTGGTAGAAAGATTTATTTCCTTCTTGTTATTTGTTCCTTTTAAAATTCAAAAGTAATAAAGAATTATAATATAACAGTTTTACTTTGTTAATATTACATTTCCTATGAAGAGTAAAACTAAAAATGCTAACATTATTTGAAAGAAAATATTACCAGATATTGTATAACAGTCGTTTATATTTTAAATTATTGTGTTTACCATCTCCAACCCCATAATATTTTAACACGCGATGTCGAGTTACTTAGACTAGTTGCCCATCACTAGCTGAATGATAGAATTTGATCAGTACTAGAGGACTAGGTAAACAATAAAACTATATGTACTTAGTAATCAGTAACTGTAAATATCTTGGTCATACAGAAGGTCAGTTGTTTTCTGAATTGCTACATGGCAACAGCTCAGACTGCATACTAAGATGAGAGATTAGTTCCGTCAAGTTTATAGGTACACCTTCTTGATGAAAACTAAATTACATGAAAACTAAGCAAAAAAACAGTGCTTCCCGTTTGAAAGCTCCTTTCACCGATTCTTAAATTATCATTTGTTTACATGATTTTCATCTAGCTGATATCAGTATACTTAGTATCTGGTAAGTAGTATGTATGATTTATTATGGTGACTTTTGAATACAAATCAAGAAAATTTTATTTTATAGAAAGCGTAATAAATAAACTTTGTAAAAATAATTTTATTTTCATTTTTTTATAGGTTTGGTCAGATGCTGGAACTCAAATCTTTTTCAGTTATGCTATTGGTTTAGGAGCTTTGTCTGCATTGGGTAGTTATAATCGTTATCATCATAATTCAGTTAGGTAGGTGTGCTCAATAGAAATATACATTACTGTTAATCTTTTCAATTTTGTGGAAGTTTTCTGGTATTATCTGAGTTCTTTGTAACTAGTATTTTTGGTTGGTAGATATTTTCATATTATATGGATTAAGATAAAAAGATTAACAGAAGGAAACTACTGCGAGGTTAACTTGGAAATTCAGATCATCATTAGTAAATTGTATTTTTTCAAAGTAGTTTTCGTTATGAATCGACATACGCTGAGGTAATCGGGAAAACTAAGAAAGCACTGGATAGCTATTATGTCCTTGTATGGAGCACATCATCAGTTTTACTTTTATTAATATGTATTTTTGACAAAAAGCGGTTGATAAATTTAATGAATTCCATTGGATCAGGTTATTTTGAAAAGAAATGCTACTATTAGAATTTCATTAATGAAATAAAGTGTCCAGAGAATTCAAATTAGTCTTAATTTCCTTTCATTACTTAACTTTTTATTTATCACAACACTGTGAAACTTAATAGTCAGTTCTACATTTAGAACATGAAAGCGAGTAGTCATAGGAAAACGAGACACAAAATGTAAATTTAATTGTACTTGTTTTAAATCTATCAAATGAAAATTGGAGTTTTTCAAAAGATACTGTATAATTCAATATAACCACTTAAATAAGGAAAGATTATTTGAGTTGATAACAGGCAATGTACATTGTTACTGTTCATTCAATTTAACTCTTATTGAAGGTCTTATAAAGTTTCAATATGGAACTGACTATTGTTTAATTTTTTTAATCATATTTCCTGTTATAAACAACGAGTAATCATTAGCTGCCCACAAGTATACTATAAAGATTATAATACGAACTGTTTTCATCAAGATTAAGAATGAAATTGTTTATATAATGAAAGATAAATCGTCAATTATAAATAAAGAAATCAGAGAATGGTTGATTAATAAAAAAATGAAAAAAGGATACTTAACACTGAGAATTAAATAGACTAAATAAAGATAAGCAAATCTAAAACAAAACCGAAGGAAAAAGCAAAACAATAAGATAAATCGTCAAAAAGTTGAAGATTACAGTTGGTACTGTATCACATGACATTTCGAAAAGTTTCATTTATCTTTGTGGAGTATCTTAAAAGATCTTCATGAGTTGGATTTTTTCAACTTAATATGTCTAATAGAATAAATACAAACTAAGTTATTCTTTCTACTAAACTATCACGCTAGATCTTAAACATTCGTTCTTATACGTAAGAATTATTAGTGAATTATGATAGAATTTTACATCATTAAAACGTGTAGATTGAATGCAGATTAATGAATGGATGCAATTATATAATGAAGCCAAGTGTTAGACGTTTGTGTGACAAGATCATTAACTTAAATCTCAAATATATAAGCCCAGGTCACTAGCTAGAAAAACAGATTCTTAATTTGATAAAATAACGTGGTTATATATACACAATATTAACATAAATATATTGTAATTTGATGTTATAAACGATTAGACAATATTAATTTTGTGGATTACTCACTTTATAGTGAATTCGAATGCAACTATATTACTTACTTACTTACACCTGTTACTCCTCCGTGAAGGAGCATAGGCCAATCACCAGCATTCTCCGTCCAACCCTGTCCTGGTCAATCCTTTCCAGCTCCTTCCATTTGTTATTCATCCTTTTCATATATGCTTCTATTTCCCGACGTGATGTGTTCTTTGGCCTTCCTCTTTTCCACTTTCCTTCACAATTCCATGTTAGAGCTTACCTCGTGATTCAGTTTGACGATTTGCATAATGTATATCCTGTCTATTTTCATCATCTTTTCCTAATTTCCTCTTGAGCTGGAAGCTGGTTTGTTCTCTCCCACGGTAAGCGGCTACTGGTGGTATTCAGCCAATGGATGCTGAGTATCTTGCGTAGACAACTAATTATAAATAGCTGTACCATTTTGATGATAGTTTTAGTAGTTCTCCAAGTTTCAGCTCCATACAGTAGAACTGCCTTGACGTTCGTTTAATATTTATACTCTTTGCATCATGTAAATAGTTGCTTACATCAGGTAATTATACATCAAATCAATTTGTAATGGATTAGTGAAAAATGTATGAAATACATTTTGATTTAGAATGATGAACCATTCTGTATTATTCAAATAAGACTAATTTCCCTTTTAATGAAATGAATGTACCCCTTTTTTCTAAAGAAAAAAACAACAACTTAATAAATTCATTTTACTGTAACCATTTCATTTCATTTATTTTCTTTTTTTGTTAATATTTAGAGATTGTCTTTTATTTGCTGGTGCAAATACATTTACAAGTTTATTGGCTGGTTTTGTTATATTTGCAACACTTGGAAATATGTCTTATATATCTAATGTCCCAATACATTTAATTGCAGAATCAGGACCAGGTTTAGCATTTATTATTTATCCAAAAGCATTAGGAACATTGCCTGGTAGTCCTATTTGGTCATTTTGTTTTTTTATTATGATTATACTATTGGGAATTGATAGTATGGTTAGTGAATTTGTTTATTATTATTATTATTATTATTAAATAAAATAAAATGATTATTAATTAAATTGTTTACATTATTTATCATTATTATCAAATTATACAAATGAATATAGTAAAATGCATACGATTATAACTGACGGAATAATTGAGCATTGAATATTTGTGTTTTTTTCTAAAGAATTTTCAAATTATGTAATGAAAATAATTAATAAATAAATGTTTATTTTGTCAAATGTTTTGATGAACAAATGGGATTTAAGAAAATAATCTACAATTTGAAAAAACATGAGAGTAGTTCTTTTTTTTTATTAGGTACCACCACTTACACATACTTATTTACTTACGCCTGTTACTCCTCGTGAAGGAGCATAGACCGCTCACTGGCACACACTATTCAATCCTGTTCTGGTCAATCCTTTCCAGCTCTTTCCAGTTGTTATTTATCTTTTTCATATCTGCTTCTATTTCCCGACGTGATATATTCTTTGGCTTTCCACTTTTCCGCTTCCCTTCAAAATTCCAGGCTAGGGCTTGCCTCATGAACTTACACATACTTGAAACAATTATATCTAAAATATAATGGTACCTATCATTATTTGTAAAACACGTGTAAATAAATATATATAACAATTAGTCACTTCAATAAATTTCGATAATGCAATGCGAAGACAAAGTTTATCAAAATTATGTGATACATTTGTGCAATATATTTCCAACAATCTGATCACACATATGCTTATTAAGACATTTTATGTTTTATATATATATATATATATATATATATATATATATATATATATATATATATATATATATATATATATATATATATATATATATATATATACTGAGGGAACCTACTTAATACTCCTTGTTCAAATCATATTCAATGGGGTCATTTTCTATTGATTTCTCATTCTACAGTTTAGTTTGTGATTAGTTCTTCGTAAAGAACTTCACAGATTTTATATGATTTGAAGATATGATCATCAATTATGGTTTTATAAACTACAGATGTAACATTATTTTTAGTACTACTATAATGTTTACATTTTTTTTCGTGCAACCAGATCCTTTGCTGGTGATCTAGCATACATGAACTCATGAATTCAACTATTAAAATTTAAAGAGAGTAGGAACGTTTTCTCATCAGCTGTATTCAATCTAAATTGCAATTATTAACATAAATATGGTTATTAACAAATGTTTAATATACTTTAGTTCGTGAAGTTTAGATAGATGTTTAAAACGTAACCAAAATCATAATAATCCGAAGAATAGGGATACAAAGTGTACGAATAAATATAGTTAAGATCTGTGTGTTTGTGTGTGTGTGTAGAAATGCACATTAAAATAGGTATTATGGTTGCCAATAATCATAATCAAAATAAAAGAGGTTTTTATTCTTTCGTCTTCTAATCTTCATCTTTTACACAATCCGATTGATGTTCACTATTTGTATATTTTATCGTGTTGAGACATGATGTACATCGTCTTCATACATCATGTTAATACACATCGATCTTAACTATATTTATTCGTACAACTTGTATCCCTATTCTTCGGATTATTATGATCTCGGTTACGTTTTAAACATCTATCTAAACTTCACGAACTAAAATATGTTAAATATTTGTTGTTAACCATATTTATATTAAAACTTTAGGTTGTATGCAGCCGGTGAGAAACTGTGAAATAAAATAATGAATCCAATTGATGATTTTGCAAACTTTGTTGTTCTTGCTCTGTTTAAAAACATAAGTATTGGGAAAAATGAAAGATAAAATTATATCATTCCAATACGATGACATAAATTATTAGTGGATAACGCGTATAGTGTTTGAAGCATCAAGTACCGGTCACAAGTCCCAATGTAAACATCAAGACTGGGATGCAAGTACACTCAGCTGTGTCCAAGTCCTAACCAGGACTGTTAGCCACAAATTTACCTATACTCTTGATTAACAGTATTCCGGAAAATACCCTATAGAAGATATTGTTGAACACATAGAATTAAGCGATTAAACTAAAGTAATTCATGAAAATGATCGTAAACTAATTAGGTAAAACGATCCAGAATGACTATAATTTTAAAACTTTGTCATTGTGAAGACAAAACTCATTTGAAAAGTTAACCTCTTTCCTATAGGCTTTTCTGATAACTGAGGAGATTTATTCGATTAATATCAAGCTTTCATCAACATAATTAAATTTCAACAGTTGAGATCATAAGTCAATTGAAGCTAGACCACAATGGAGAACATAGAATCACTGGATGGCCGTTTGATCCTATTGTGAGATTCCTCAGTAGTTCGCATCCACGACTCCGCCTCGTGGGATTCGAACCCACGACCTATTGGTCTCGCGCGCGATCCCTTAACGACTAGAACACAGAGTCGGCATCCAACGGTGTTAATGTCTAATTGATAGGTCCTGGGTTTGAATCCCGCTAGGCGGGGTCGTGAATTCGCACTAGTAAGGAGTCCCACGAGATAGCCGTGTAGTGCTTCCAGGTTTTCCATTGTGGTTTAGCTTCAATTGACTCATGATCCCAACTATTGAAATTACTACAATCTCCACAAAATCCCTTCTGATAATAATTAAATTTATATATACAATAATCATAAAAACCTTAGTCATGCTCACTTATTATCTTTACGACTGTTGTTGATTAAGAATTTGTTAGCTGTGTTAAGGTTTTATCTACGACGATATTCATTTCGATTTTTCTCATTAACGTAATGAAATAGTTGAAGTGATATTAAATTTCATTGTTAATGAATAAACGTTTGAATACAAACCTAAAAAATAAAATGTATGAAAAAAAATGTACTTTAGGCTAGATTTATATCAAAATCTATACTGGCAAAATCTTGATATGATGTATGCAACCTAAAAGACAAATATCTGTCAAATTAGAAATTTATGAAAACATGATGTCAACATTTAAATAAAATTAAATACAACTGATTAAAGAATGTCTGCCTTTTTAGTAAAATATATTTCAGTATGTTAGAAGCAATCATCAGAATGCTCTAGATATACTAATTCTTTTCTTTCTTTTTTTTAAACCTTCAAAGCCATAATATTCTAATCGACTACATATAAGATAATTCTGTATAACTGAAGTTCGATACATTAAAGAAGACTTTAAATGTTTATGTAATACTAAATGTGAAATTACATTAAGAAGGATGTGTATTTCATTGAATTAATCTGTTTAAACATGAATACATTTCTTGTATAGTTATTATTAAAACATTGTTTATTAGCCCAAATTCATTATCTGGTTATTTCTTTAAATTCATTTATAGTTTAGATGATTTCAGTTTGTGTCAAAATTAGTTTTCAAAATAATGTTTCTGAATCACTTAAATTTACTGTATTCAGAATATAATGAAAAATCTGTTCTGCAAAAATGTCTTCCATAAAATCTACGCTATTATATTGACCAATATTTATATAGATTTAAATCATGAGTCAGTTGAAGCTAGACCACCATTGAAAACCTGGAAGCACTGGACGGCCGTTTCGTCCTAGTATGAGACTCCTCAGCAGGACCTACTGTCTTCGCGTGCGAGCACTTAACCATTAGACCACTGAGCCGGCATCCAACGGTGTTAATGTCTAACTTCAACCAATCCACGAAGTCGTGTCACCGTACACCATTGTCTTCAGTGAGCTGATATCTCACAACAGACCTGGTTGAACTCCACTGGTAACGGCTTCCCACTAGAACTCCAGGAGTTGGATGCCGGCTCATTGGTCTAATGGTTAAGTGCTCGCGCGCGAAGCCAGTAGGTCCTGTGTTCGAGCCCCGCGGGTGCGGGATTGTGGATGCGCACTGCTGAGGAGTCCCATACTAAGACGAAACGGCTGTCCAGTGCTTCCAGGTTTTCGATGGTGGTCTAGCTTCAACTGACTATTGATTTAAATCTGTAAAAATTTCTAAAATCTCCACAAACCCCTTCTGACAATATTTAAATCACCATCAGTAAAAACTGTGCTCACTTTAAACTAGCGACATAATGGTTTCAAAACCTGATGAAAGTATGATTCTTGTAAACAAAACAAAACAAAACAAAAAAGAACCAATAAATACTTATAAGAAAATAGAAAAATATAAGAAACTTATGATAAACCGACAATGATTAAGTTGTTTATGAATATCAATTGTATAGTTAAAATGTTTACTCGATAAGAAATGTTAATACTACTCACAGAATAGAAACTATAACTATGAAAATTTCAAAGTTTTGTTTGTAGTCTGTTAGGATGTGCAGAAAAATATACCAATAGTTATCATGTTAAGTCTAATGTTGTCCTTGGACGCTAAATGTACATTCCCTATTGGTCGATATTTGCTTCACTTGTTTAATATTGTGTAAATGTTGTTTTCTATTTTTATGGTACGATGTGGTCTGCTTGGTTAGTATATAAACAGAGTATGTTTGAAATATAATGATTCATATCTCAGAGGCTGTGACTTGAGTTCTGGACTCAAATGGCTGGGCTAGACAGTGAAGCAGGGCCAATCGGGACTCTAGGTCGTTCACTACGTGTAACAGAAGCGATCGATATAAAACGTTGCTTGTCAAAACCTGCAGTCTCACCCGTTACAACATCCAGTTACTGATGATATGCTTCTATCAATTATTACTTATTTAACAATGTCTGTAATAATGATTATCATGAACAAGTTGTTTGATGTCAGTAATTAGTGTAAATGTTAAACATCTTATTCCGTTCAATGATTATCACTATAACAATCTAAACTGCAGCATGATAAGAAGTTTTTTCTTGAATTTCTGCTTTCAGAAAACATAACGATATTATTTATTATTTTCCAGCAATTAAGAAATTTCTTGTGTGAATATCACACAATCAATGTTTAATTGAAAAGAAAAGTCATAAAGAAATTAAACAAAAATCAATTTTCCACATTCATAGGGATGAATTAAAATTAAACGGTTATTTAAAAACATAATATCCCCGATCTATATTATTATTATTATTAGTTTGTATCTTTGCTAAAGTATCTTTGTTTTAAAATTAGCTTCCATGGAACAACATGACTAGATTAAAAAAAAGACAAAAGTTCAAATACTGTATTGTTAATAGATGTATGTTTTTTTTCTCTCACTAATTTCTATCCATTTTAATGCTTAAGGTTATGAAGAAAGTCCATTTTGGAATTCATGATAAATCACTGTTCCAAGATTATAATTTACAAACGTGTTTTAATGTACAGGATTAATTTTGACATTTTATAAAATAACCCTTCCTTAAGGATTCATTTTTTCTAAAATGCTGAGATTTGTTTTTATGACTCTTGTTTTCCTTATATATTTCTATGTTAAATATTTTTAGTTTGGTGGAGTTGAAGGTTTTGTTGCTGCAATCTCCGATTACTTACCTCAAGTGATATTAAATCCATGGTATCGAGTTAGTTTTGTTGCAGCCACATGTATTATATCTTATGGTATTGGATTATTTATGGTAACTAATGTAAGTAATTTTTCAACTATTCAGTATTATTAAAATATCTATACGTATTTCATCATTCAGTACACATAGTGATCCGTTATATTTTGAAATGTTTAAAAATTCATGTTTCAACTTTGTCGTCTAGTTCAAAGCATTTAGTATATATATACCAGAAATTCATGTTTGTTAGTGAAGAATAGTGAAAATCAGTTTTAAGATTCATAGTATACAATAGCCTGTTATTTATTTCTGACAGATATATTTCTCTAAATGGATATGACTATTCACTATGATATGTATTTTATCATAGTGTTACACAAATCCATATGTGAGATTGTAAATATTTATGTTATATAAAACATATTGAGAAGAAAACATTTATATTATACATATTATCTATGAGCAAACAAGATATAGACAAAGTTTGAATAAGATTTAGACCATTACCTTATTATTTGAAGTTAGAAAACTAGTAAACATCAGTAAGCTTTGATGAATTGATTGTAACTTCATTGATTATACAATGTATAGTAGGAATGTTTCCGTACATAAATTGACATTGTATTCTATTGAACTTTGTTGAAAACCATCGTAAAAATACGATGTACTAGGCAATTAAAAGATTTAACTGACGGTTTTTCTATATATTGAAATTGATTTAATTGTGACGTGAGTAATAACTAACTATCAATTTATACTTAATAGTAGAAGAAATTTAGCTAAGGATAAGATAGATATAGAAACGAAACAATAAGTCATTTGCATTGGTTGTTTGGATCTTCCCATTCGTGTTTAGAACTGTAATTGATCAGTCTGTTTTAGGAATATACACATCCTAAATTTCAACCTATTTCATTAGCTAGTGGTTATTTGGACTCAGTAGCTCAGTGGATAGTGCGATAGCATGTGAAGCAAACGGTACCGGGTTCAATTATTGGGGTAAACATCAACCTCGGTATGTAGGTGCATCCAACTGACGAATCAAAAATAGCGCAAAACGCGCGTCCTGTATTCCATTCATATCATTTATTCATCTCTGCTGATAAAACGGTAATAGTTTGAAAAAATCCACTACATATATAAATAAAAGCAGTCCAGTACTATTAAATTGCAGTTAGTAAATTAGATGACTAGTGTTGTGAGTCGGCAATTAAATTATTCTTCCATAAGTGTAAAGATTATTCTAAGCGAAAACTGAGTTTCTCTATTCTCATTATGTTTCAACTCTGTTAGCGTCTTTTGGCAGTTGAGAATCCATTGAGTATATGAGATGTGTTATAAATCCTCCGAAAAAACATTACTCAGATCAATAATATAGTTTGGCATAATACTTCATCTGTTGAAATACATATATACCTTGAATATTTTATCTTAGTACGTTGTTTCGGTACATGTTTCTGTATGGTTAGGATTAGAAACTATGATATTTACGCATATAAGTAATTTATTTTGATTGATAGATAAACCCTATTTGTTTACTATTCTGTTGGATGTGATTCATCTTAACAATATCAAGCATTAATTAATTGAATAAAGACAGAACAAACATTGATGCAGAATAATATGAATTCTTTATATTTCGTGGTTTCTAATCAACTGCTTACAACCACATAAGTACTGAAAATTACCTTTGAGGTAATATATAATGTGAAACAATTGACATAAATGAACGAAAAGAATTAAAATGACGATGGCTACCAATTTACATTTACGTTCCAAGGCACATACATTGGAAGAACAGAGTAAAGAGTGTATGTTCTCATTTCCGAGAACGTTCCCAAATTCTTGATAGGAATAGACAAAATGGCTCTAAAAATTGAAGTAGCTCGGCATTTACTTGATACCGGACATACCATTGACACTCCACAAGCCTTTAAAATTGTCAGCAAACAAAAGAATGCAGCGTCTTTTCGATTTGCCGAAGCAATAGCAATAAAAACATTTAGACCTGACCTATGTATGCTGAAAGAGACAGTAACTTATTTTTGTCATCATCATTATTTTATTTGTGTTTATTTTGTCATATGGTCTCATATAACAAACACCAAAACCACTACTATGTTTTCATTCACTTAATTCTGTCGACTAATGTAAACTCTTCAAATCCTATTTCGCTTATTCCGTAACCCATCATGTCAATCTTTAGTTCCAGTTCATAAACTTAAAATTATCACACAATCCATTTTGTATTTCTACGGAACTCATTTGATTGATACATCAATCGCCTCTTATGTTTCTTACTCCAACTCTATATGTCCTCTGAACTGTTCCGTTGTGACGCAGTTACTCATTAAAGACAATGGTGGACGGTGGCGCAATGTCGCGGATCGGTCGAAATTAGACATCATTACCGTCGAATGCCAGCTCAAAGGTCTAGGGATTAAGGGTTCGTGCGCGAGACCGAAGGTTATGGGTTCGAGCTCAGAGTGTGGGATCGTGGATACGCACCGCAGAGGAGCCCCGTACTGAGACGAAACGGCCGTCTGATGCTTCCAGGTCCTCGACGGTGGTCTGATATTGTGCTAGTCATGATATCAATCTAAATTCAATAATCTCCACAACCATATACTGATATATATATATATATATCTTTAGTAAGAGAGAGTTGTTACTGATAACTTTTTCGTTCATTTATGTCAATTGTTTCACATTATATATTACCTCAATGGTAATTTTCAGTACTTATGTGGTTGTAAGCAGTTGATTAGAAACTACGAAATATAAAGAATTCATATTATTCTGCATCAATGTTTGTTCTGGCTTTATTCACATTCATAAAGGGTACAAACTGTCTGAAGTTAATTAATCGATTTTAAACCATTAAGGCTGATTAAAACCGTTTGAAATAAAACGAATTTATTACAATGGAAATTTTGTTAGTTTCTGTTCTGGTTAAAATAGAGAATAATTTGTAGTAGTATGACTTAAAAAATTCATTCAAGAATGGTTGGTAAAACGTTTATTTACCTTTTATAAGCTTTTAAGTAGAAAGTCACGATTAGTGATGTTCAATCTGATACGAAATGAGAAATTCGTCAACGGAATTACATGATAATGACGATGATGATGATGCAATATTAACGATTGACTGCATTTAAATTTGAGCAATAATGAATTCAAACTTAATAGTCTAAGCGTAACGTATAATGTTATGAACGCGTCTAATATGAAAGAATCAAGTAAAGCTTAAACAGTTGTCTTGCGTTCTCTAGATATCAACAAATGCTTATTACATACCATTATAAAATGTTAACTATCTTCAAACTGATCTCTTTTTATCTAAATAAAGTACTTTTCTTAAATCATTCATAAAGATAAAACTTACAAATAATACAAAGACAACTTAAATATTTACAGACCTTTTGTCAAATATTTAAAGTATGCAGGGTTATTGATTATATGTGTTATTTCAGCTGAATGATTTGTAATTTATTTGTATCGTTAGTAAATTGGCGATTATTTGTCTTAATAATTTAAGGTGCGCTTAATAACAAATATGAAAATAATTATTGTTATGTTAGTAGTATTGTAGTGAAGGAGAACACATCTGGGGACAACCAAATGTAGTATACACCATAGTATTACTAAAAAATGAGAAGCCTTGTGTACATATGACTTTCTTTCTAAAAAAAAGAGATTCATTTTTCTTATGTATCTCTTGGCTAATGTCAGTTTGCTTTTTCATAACACATTCTTATATGTGAATTACAAGAGGAAGAGTTTTATATCAGAATTGTGTATTTAAGACATGTAAAAAGATACGTTAGTTTTAAATCACTCTCATCAACTTTATATCCCGCATAATCATGGGTGCATTGAAATTAAAACAAGATACACTGAATAGCAGCTGATCAACGAATAATTTCCACTGAAAATAAAATCTTTCAAATTAGTTCTGATATGGCATAAAACATGTAGACTATATGAGTAGATTTGCACTAATCATGTTTAGATTCTCAGTAAGTTTATAATATAGATTATCTGCGTATATCTATATCTGTCTAGCATTATTATGCAAGGAAACTGACTAAATCATAATCCTAATAATCAGCACTTTACCTGATCAAATTTAAACAATCTCAAAAGTTGATGATTATGTTCATGAGCAGAGATGTATACTGTCTAGCAATAGAATGCAGAACGCGCGTTTTATCTTCTTTATAACTCATCAGCATCCGAGAGTTGAGGGGACATCAAATCTTGGGTGCAGGTATATCCAGTTGTCGAGTCCCAAATAGGACAAAACGCGCGTCGTGGATTTCACTGCTAGCCACCATCCACTTCTGCTTATAATGCTCGTGAGTTAGGGCAATATCAAGACAATCTGTTCAGGATTCATATATGCGAATAACAGACAGATCAATCGTAGCCCTAAACGTCAACGGAAACTTTCAATCAGCCAATATGAAATTGGAATACTTTCATGCTTTAGCAATTCGATCCAATATTAGTTTTCATTAGGTGGGAACTGTATTTACATCAATAAAATATACCGACTATAAAATTAAACTTTGGGAATAAAACTGAAAACGCTTCGAAATGTTTCGTTTTTCTCCATTAACTATAATGAATTAATTAGGTATGATGTGCCCATTCGTCAAATCAAGAATTTACTATTAAATTGCAAACGTATAGTTTTGCCAATCTTATAAGTATATTTAATTGTTTAGATAAAAATATGAGGTGGTAGTATTGAGGCTAGTTATGTTTAATAACTCACGGAATATATTAGTTTCCTCAAAATTAAATATTTCATGTTGATGAGTAGTGAGTAGCATTTCATATAAGTTCACTTCTTCCTGGAGATTACCTTCTACCAACTTACGTTTAAATATATGAACAAACCAACTGTGTTTCTCACTTACGCAAACCAATATTTAAGTCGAAAAGTTTACTGGAAATCCGGTTTTATTGCATGTTACGTAACTTCTAAGTCGATGAATGATACTTTTTTAAAATCAGTTGAACAATTTAGCTTATCATTAGGCCGACGTAGTGAATCTCTTCTAAATTAAAATACATACTTAAAAGAAGAATAACTAAAATTAAGGTTTTACTACAAACAACATGTTTTCATATACAAGCTGATATTCATACCAAAATCCCACTATTGATTTGATAAAAGGAAACTTCACTTGTGTCATAAATAACCTAGAACTTTACATATAAATAAGCATCAATGTACCAAAGTTATCTTCATAACACGAGAGTGAACATAATATTTGATTGCAAGTTTACCTCAACTGATTACAACAGAATAACAATTTATGAAGAATTTACTTAATAACTATCTGAAGTTTGTGCTGATGATGTCTTTCAGAAGAACGATGAAATCTCCACGACCAAACTATCCAGCTCAGAGAATAAAACTCCACCAAAACTATCTAATATCCACGGAATAATAATAACCTAGTATTATCTTAGTTCATGTTGCATTTTCATCAATTAGATTCTTTACAGATGACCTAGGCTTTCTAAAATATCACCACGAGACGAGAGATTGTAACTACGGATTATTCAAAATCCACATACTAACATAACATGCTTTTCAGAGCTTCCCCGGTTTTCAATTGTTATCTCACTAAAATCAGTTCGTGATATAAACTATAAAAATATATAAAGGAAAAGCGTACATTCTAATAGCTTAGATATAGTCTAATATGAAAAAAACAAAAACCTAAACAGTAGCGTATAGAATAGTCAAAATAATGTTAAGCTACATTAATCTTATTTTATTCCTTCTGTATTTCCAATAAGCAAACAGATCAATAAGAAAAATAGCTTTTTATGATTTTTTTTCCCAAGTAAATCACTTTGTTCAGTATATCAAAAGTTTAAACTTGTGATGAATTACTTCTGTTCAATTTATTCTTGTAAAAGAATTATTATTTTTTTCCCATGATTAATCATTGTATTCTATCTATTTGTTACTATGGTTGTTTTTTTCTCTCTTTTAGGGCGGTATGTACATATTTCAATTATTTGATTATTATTCGGGTAGTCGTATAATTTTATGTGTTACATTTTTGGAATGTATCGTAATTGGCTATATATATGGTAAGATTTTAATATTGAAAATAATAATGTTGAATTAAATGTATTACTGTTTAGTTTTCAAAGTACATCAGTCAGTTAGTAACAATGTAGAACTTCGTACTTACATACATCAGTCCGAGTTGCCATACCACATTAGCACAGAGATGCTGTTGTTGATTCAAATCCCGTAGTGGTATTTAAAGAGTATAATCCAGTGAAATAAATTTAGAAAGAGAAAAAAAGAGACAAGGAGGATTCAGAAGAACATAAAGAATGGGTGCACCTGCGCCATTGTAAACCATTTTGAGCCATGCCATTCAGGGTCTTTAACCATCGGTGGTTATCCTCTCGCGGTCCCCAACCAGGTAGTCTACACCTACCAACATGACTCAGTGACTCAGTGACTTCATGGATTTTGCCATGTTTTGGTCTGGCCTCCCCTAGCTTTCTACCAATCTACTTCTATACCATTGAATATCGCAGTCGGTGGTTGGGCATACGTAACACGTGTCCCAGCCATCCCAACTGATGAATTTTTCCTACTTCCTCAATTGATTTGCCATCCTTACCTAGTACCCGTTTCCTAACCACTGTGTTACTTACTCGATAGTCCCAGGATATACGAGAAATGTTTCTAAGACACCTTTGATCGAATACTAGTAACCTACGAATATCCTCTACTCTTACCGGCCATGTTTCACTGCCATAAAGTAAGACGGAACGAACTGTTGCACAGTAAACCCGTCCTTTAATTGATAGACGGATATCTCGCCTACGCCATAAATGACGCAAGTTGGTAAAATCTAGTCGAGCCTTCTGTATCCGTGCTGAGATTTCGTCACACACCAGACCACAAGTATATCATGATGAATGTATTGGAAACGTACTTGTATTGCTTGAATATGAAACACCAATTGTATTGATTTCAATAATTTATGACAGTTATTTATAGTTATCTATAATATATATATATATCAATTATTCCAATTATAGCGTAGCATATAATTGGTTTATGTTGCGACACATTGTTTTACATTTACATCTATTTTGAAGCATTTTTCAATGATAAATGTCAAATATAAAAAAAGTTGTTGTATTGTACACGTATAATTAAATTTTCTTATTTGTACTGTTTATTTGTCAGATTAAATATTTTCTATGGTTTATTATTAATTAGATCGATATTTTCTATCATAGAAAATGTTGAAGTAATTTTCCTTAGTAGGAATTATAAATATTGATTATTCTGTTTACCATCAAATTATATACTGAATTATTTGTATACATTTGCTGAAAGAATTACCCATTTTTTACTGTTTGTGTTAATGAATGAACGTGCATGCCATTTGTCTACCTAGTTGGTAGTGATTTCATAATAAGGCATCATATTTTGACCTTGATAAGTCTGATAAATTTGTATGATTGTTGAATCTCAATAGTGATGCACGTTTTCAGTCGTTGTTGATTAGCTAGTGTAAGCAGCAGGGATACCAGATTGATTACGACAAGATGTTCAATTGTTTTATTAATTTTATCTTAAAATTTCACCATAACTGTAAATAGAAACATAAATATATGCCAAGTAACATTGACAAAAATGTTAAAAATCTAATATGTACAAATCCTAAAATCACTATGTAAGTATTTGTCTATTTGTTAACATTTAGTCCCCGTTGTCTGAATCCAAAATTAACTTTCATGAAATATGTATCTTACTTGAATTCGTACATATTCTGTCGACTTATTACGTTTAGAACAATGATTTGTCAAACGTCGTAAACGAATTGAATGTAGGGTTCATACTTATACTGAAAGTCAGACAAAAAACACAAGATATAATTGTATAATGCACTGGAGTTTTGTAATACAACAATTCAGAGAATAACAAGATGACTGTTTTTATACATCAAGTGAGAAACATGAAAAGTGGATGGATATATGGGTACTACTACATACACATGTACAAAACATAACCAAAGTTATGGGTAGGCGACAACACTGAATATATAAGATAGAGATTAAATCGAAAAATTACAATAATTCCTCGTTTCGAAGTTCGGAATAAATCACTTGTGTGTTGAGTTGCCAGAATCGCTTTTTGTGGGTACTTTTTTATTGCGTATTTCGGCTAGTACAAGTACCATTATTTTACACAACTGATATGATGAATAACATAATTTGTAATCTAGCTGTTATACGAAAATACACCATGCAACCATACTTGTGGTTATGTGCAATAGTCTGAATAACTCATATGATATATCTGAAGACAATAAATTTTAGAAACATTGTCTATCATTAAATTTTACCTTAATAATGCCAACATTAGTATTTAACTCGAAATACAATCTACAAATTTTCCGTCAGACCAAAAACTTAACGTTGTCAGTGACTTTATTATATCACCACTTAAACCTGTATGTTATAGTGGGAGGTTTGTATGAATTATTAGCTTAGAACGATATTTCACTTATTCATATTATGTATAAACACTAATGCGCTAAATCTAATTTTATTCTTTGAAAATAAGTCAGTAAATGAGTTACCAGAAGATGATCAATATTGTAATTATTGCTTGTTCTGGATGTAAATTTGATAAAATTGATAACCAAAACATAAAAACTATTTCATTACTTCGAATATAACCATTTATTGCTATTCTACAATTTACAGATTATTCATTCATAATAGATATTTCATATTCGTACCTCAGGATTTTGTCAACACTGTAGAATATACTTATACATACAATCTGATTATTTGACTTGATCTATACTCGGTATTCTGTTTTGCGTTGATTAAGATATATATATAGTTCTGCCTTAATTATTAATGTTTTTTTATATACCAAATCTAAAACTAATTGTTTTTTCATTACAAAACATTAATACATTCTTAACATTTTACAAAATATTTGTTTTCTTTTAGGATGGAGACGGTTTGCAAATGATATGAAGTCAATGTATGGCTTTTCACTTAAATGGTTTTGTTGTTTATACTTATGCATTATTACTCCATTGTTTACATTTGTAAGTGATGACGTATATATTTTAACCTCTTTTTACCTTTATATATATATTCATGTCTAAATGTTATATTTGAAGTGACCTTAGCAACTGAAATATGAATATTATCAACATTTCAAAGAGTGTATAAGGTTCAATAAAACTTATCAATAAGGTCTTAAATATGGTAAGATCATGTGACAAACTGATGTTCAAACTGTTTATTTTGTTAAAAATTCATGAGTGTATTTGTATGTTTGTATGTTAATCATTATAAGGAAACTGTGAGAATACGATGTCATTGACTTCTACCGACAACAAGTTAGTGGTTTTTATTTGTTACAAAATCAACAATCCATATGTTTAAAATAAACTAGCTAAGTCGATACTGGATCAGATCAATTATATTTTTAGTTATGTTGAGGATAATAAGAAATTTTGAGATGATGGAGAAGATTTGTAGCTCAAATGGATGATTTTGATGAAATTTCGTTCTCTGAGCTGAATGGTTTGGTCATGGAGCTTTCGTTGTTATTCTGAGCGACATCATCAGCATAAATTTCAGGTAGATGCAAAGTGTTCACGTTTCTCCATATATGACTCAGCTTGTTCCATAGACATCCATCTTGATTGGCTATTGTTGATCTTTAACCTATCACTGTTCACTTCTTCATTTTGATTGTATCTCCCGTTGATTTGATTCTTGGTCCTCTGAATAAGGGGTATAAAGTTGACCACATTTTCAAATTGCTTTCAATAATGTATTCTACCTATACGCTTGTAGCATTATTTGAACTCGTACACTGATTGGTAAATACAGTATCTCAAGTGACGTCTTGTTCGTCATTTACAACAAGAAATTAAATGCATGAATAGTTACAGATTCTTCGTGAATTTTTTTAGTCAACCAGAAAACTATCGATTTGAATGTGATTATTTTTGAAAAAACACTTTCATTTGTTAACTCTTTGTTTACTGGCTGGTTTTGTCCACTTAATTTTCGCATGAAAAACAGAGTCAGTTTGGTTTGTAATTTGTATACATAAAGTTGATACACCTGACTTGCTATGTAACATAATAATAATAGGTCACACAAACTTCATCAGGTATCCTATTCAACAGTCATATTGTCTGCTTTGATTGATTCTCATTTTTGTCCATGGTATTTATACTTCAGGTTCTGTTTATCTTCAGTGTAATTGTGTACGAAGAACTCACATATATGCGAGCTGTCAAACCTGAACCATATCACTTTCCGAAGTGGTCTGTGATATTAGGTTGGATGATGGCCAGTTCAAGTTTGTTCTTCATTCCAGGTGTCATGATGGCAGAGGTTATAAGAACACCGGGAACATTTCTAGAAGTAAGTTCACTCATGTGAATTATTTTTTAGTAAAATTGTTAGAAACAGACTTTCCTGTTTGAAACTTTGAGGTTTGTAGTGTCGGTTACTATGTTAATCCCACATAACTTATTCTAGCTTCCGGATAGGTCAATCTATTGATTCATATTGAGTCACATTTTGACCTTGTCACTCGTTCACTTATCCAACTTGACTATTTTTATGTAAGCGTGTGTGGATTTCTTATCATCACATGTTTGTAACCTATTTTTGTTTAACTATAAATATCGAGTCACGTTTGATTAAGACGAGTTGGCTTACATGCCCTCTCCACCGCGCATCATTTTGTTGCGTTCTCTTCGTTTTGTTTCTTCTATCGTTTGTCTGGATAAACAAATGTATGAAATACACGTATTTGAAATTTATTCTCGTATTTGACTTATTTAATTCCGTTATTCACCAACGCGATTTAAGTCGATGATAATGTACGAGGATCGGCGACATGTATATTTCAACAATAATCATTCACGCGATCTGCCTGGAGTCAGATCATGGGCCACCAAAAGTTAAATAGATGAGTAATGTGAAGTAGTGGTCCACTTAATTGGTGTTTGGTAAATAGGAAGAAATATACGCATTATGTAGTCAGATATTAGATACATAAAAATTTGTTTACTAGGATGACAGTTAAAGTATTAAGGCATGTTACCTGGTTTTACTGTTAACTGATTAAATAAAGCAGTGCATTAAACAACTGATATTATCTAATATTATGATAAATAAGGCTTAGAACTTCACAATTAAAGCATTGAAGACTGGTTGATTGGTTTTGGATATTTTATAAATCATCTCGTATTCTGATTGTTCAAAAACTTAAGTTGAGTTGATGAATTCTCCTTCAAAAATTCATGATGTGAGAATAAGTGACTGAACGGATTGTGTTAATGTATTTATATGTAAGATTGAGTTACTAATGAATGATTTTCGGTTTTAATATGTTTTGTATGAAGGAAAAAACTTTTCACATGATTAGCATTTAACTGACTCATGTTATCCTATTTACTTAAGTCAACATCTCAATATGATTGGATCAGCACAATATAGATCTGATCTAATTTGATTGTTACAACACCATATATATTTCTTTAATGATTTTGATTTTGATTATTACCCTGAAGAAGTTCAGACAAATTTGCTGGACGAAAAGTTGGAATTATTTAAGTTTCAATCTCTGAGACTATTTCAAATATAACTTTCATATATAATAAATGATTATTGTTAGTAAAATTTTCAGTTGTACAAACTATTTGCCTAAGTTTTACGTGACTTAAATTTGGTGATGGAGCTCTTAATGTTGATCGTGGATAAATTTCAGGAAAAAATTGTAAAACTTATTCAATATTACAGACTACTTACAAATGATTAAAGTAGTAAGATTGATCTTTGGAATAAAATATCTGTTTGCATTGGGTCAATATTAGACGTTTCAAAACATGTTTGTATACGAACCAAGAGCGGCTTACATAAACAAACTAAATGAAATGTAATATTGAGGAATTCTAATTTTTTTAAAAGGGTTTTTTTAGCAAGGCTACATTGAACATATGACAAGTTGAGTATTTACTTTTTGATGTACACATAATTTCATGATGTACATACACTTAAGTTTACTTGATGTTCTTAAAAACTGGAAATGATCGTATCCAAATACTCTGTAGATTTGAGAATATCTAGTCGTCTAATATCAAAAAATTATAAGGTGAAATTATTCTGTATATGGCATACTATTTATACCTATATTTATAATTTTATTTTGCAGAGAATAAAATACCTGTGTACACCTCGTCTTACTCAGCATCGTTGTTCTTTAACCAATCCAAGTGAGTGACATTAACAACTTAAACCAAAATATTTTTTGGAATAATAAAATAAGATTTTTTACATAGGTTATTGATGAATAGTGTAGTATTGTTTGCAATAACTAGAGCATATGCTTCTACATAGAAAATCCTATGTACCATTTCATTTGACTGAAAAAACTTCTAATGAGATGTGAACCTTCAATGACTGTATGAAGTTAATTTCACCGTTGAAATTAGGAATACCTAATGATTAGGGTCACACCACGTTGAGTAAGTTAACTATATGCTATTAAGGATGTGTTTTTGAAGCATTTTCATATATGAACAATAGTTTTGTAATTTTTTCCGTCAGGACTTATAATCAGCTGAAAAACAAATAAAAGTCAAACTGAACTACATCATTACTAAGTCCTAATTTCTGGATTTCATACAAGGAATCCTAATGAAAATTTAAAGGTGAAAGATAAACGTGAATTTTTTAAAATCCAGAATCGGAATACAGGGTTTCTAATTTTTACAGGATTTAGTTTACTAGGCGCGATGGTTTATTCATTAAATTTTGACAAGCAGATTTGCAAACAACTAAGTCAATTATCAATCTCCTTTGTAGTGTGCTAAAATATAATGTGAGAATCAGACAATTTATGGAATATTACTTCATCTGCAGTACTCATCCATATTTGTGACAAACGCTGAAGCATGAGGAAGACATATTAGCCCGGTATGAAACAAATATCTCCTAAATATCTAAAATGAAGTGGTTTTCTAGATTACAAAGGTGATAATGAATATATAATAGTTTTATTCACTCTGAAGAAGCACTTACCTACTCACGCCTGTTACTCCTAATTCAGCATAGGCCAACGACCAGCATTTTCCAACCCACTCTGTCCTGGGCCTTCTTTTCTAGTTCCATCCAATTCTTGTTCATTTTTCTCATGTCTGTCTCCGTTTCCCGGAGTAATATGTTCTTTGGTCTTCGTCTCCTCCTTTGACCTTGAGGATTCCATGTGAGAGCTTGTCTTGTGACGCAGTCGGGTGCTTTCGTCAAGGTGTATCCTATCCACTTCCAACGCTTCTTCTTCATTTCTTCGCCCGCTGGGATCTGGTTTGTTCTCTCCCACAGTAGGTTGTTGCTGATAGTATCTGATCAGCGGATCCGAAGTATTTTGAGTAGACAACTGTTAATAAAAATGAGAAGACGTAGTTTATCACAACGTTTTTCTCCCATGATGTCTTCATATCCGCTGTTGTCCATTTCAACTTTTGCATTTAAATCTCCCATCAGAACGGTCAAATACTTTGTTGGGCACTTCTCGACGATTGACTGCAGCCTATTGTAGGATTGATCGTTAGTGTCTTCATTGTAGTCGTTGGTAGGCGGATAGCATTGGATGACGTTCATTGAAATGCCCTCTTTCTTTGTTTTGAAGGAGGCTTTGATGATCCTTGGTCCATGAGATTCCCATCCTATAAAAGCATTTTGTGCTTGTTTTGATATCATCAATGCAACTCCTTGTGTATGTGGGGCATTTACTTCTTCATGGCCAGAGTATAACAGAAGATCCCCTGAAGCTAGTCGTTGTTGTCCAACTTGAGTCCAATGTGTTTCACTGATCTCAAGCACCTCTAGGTTGTATCTCCTCATTTCTGCAGCAATTTGGAAGACTCTCCCGGTCTCCCACATTGTACGAGTATTCCATGTACCTAAATAAATGGTTGCTCTGGTTGTCAGAAGGGGCATCGGCCTCGTGACTTCCGAAGGAACTCGGCTTTCATCATGAGACGTCATAACTCTTCTAAATGAAGACCATCTGATTCTCAGGGCAGAGTTTGAGTGTTTTGAATAATTTCTTCTGCTTAGCGTTTTTTTAGTGAGTTAGTTTTCTACGGGATCGGGTCGGTAACCCTATGCCCAACCCTCCTCCTTTATCCGGGATTTGGACTGGCAGTAGCTCCCAGAGGGACTCCAGGCGGAGTTATTTTGTAGAAGTGGCTTACATTAAATCACGAAACGTCAGAAATACAATATTTACTGACCAGGCTATCACAAAAAATATATTTATTATCCAATGCCCAATTTATTTGAAACTATCAAGCTCAACCTTTGCACTGATGCCTATAAATCACATAGATGGTTTTTCTCAACAAATTTTAAAACTGTGGATAATAATAACGAATATATTTTCTAAAATATTCAAATGGTTAGCTTAGTCATAGATCTCCAAAATCTGTGTGCATATCATCAATAATTTGATATAGGCCATGTAAATGAATAATAATAATTCAAAGAGGAATGTAGCTTTTACTAGTATCCGTTATTATACAACATACTTATACTCATATCTATCTACTGTATCTAATTATTGAAAATATTTCTTTATATCTGATTCTTTCCAAATTACACATAAAGTCTTGACTCAATTCTCACAATGAAAGAATATAACAAAATTTTCAGTCATAAGTAAATATTTAAGCTACCTGTTATACAATTTTTTTATGAATAGACATTGATAATTGTAGCTAGCCTACAGTTTAAACATCCCACTATTTATCGTCATAGTTACCTACGTATATATATTTTTTTCAAGAATGTTATACCATGATAACCTGTTGTGTAAGTGTGTATTATTACACGTTTAAGAAGTTTTAGATATTTTTCTAGTTATTTGTTAACTGTGACCATGAATTAGTTTGCGTTTCTATTTCTTTTTTTTTATTAAAAACAATCAATTACAAACACAGATTATCATTTTAATTAATGCAATTAATGTCATAATTAAGTATATAAATCATTGAATTTTGATTAATTAGTCAAGAAATATTGTGCCTGCTACTAGAAATAAAAATCAATCGTTTACAGGTTCGTAGGTGTAGATTAGTAAGAAAACTCAGAAAAGAAAAAAAAATTGTTGTTAGGTGCTACTTTGTCTTTTTTAATTCATTTCCAGATCATATAAGCCTGTGGTTGAGACTACTTTCAGATTTAAATTAATTTATGACTTGAGTGAAAATCCACATGAGATTAATTGTGTAGTATATGTGACTTTATAAGTTATAATAAGTTAAATTTTACACTTTGATGAGAAAAATAAATAAGGTTCAGATCATGAATCAATTGATGTTAGACCACCGTTGGAAACCTGGAAGCATTGGACGGCCGTTTCGTCCTAGTATGGGACTCCTCAGCAGTGCGCATCCACGATCCCGCGAGCGGGATTCGAACCCAGGACCTACTGGCTTCGCGCCTGAACACTTAACCATTAACCACTGAGCCGGCATTCAATGGTGTTAGTGTCTAACATCAATCAATTCACGAAATTGCGCGACCAACTTCCATTGTACTGATTCCATTCATGATCTCAACCAAAATCTTAACAATCTCCACAACCCCCATACTGATAAATAAGGTTCAATTGATAAGAAGCGACTAGAGGAGTTCAATCATGTCAGTAGTAAGGTAGTTATCCATTTCAGGAAATTGTTAAGGGCTACACAACATCAGGTGTGATTGAAGTTAGATAGTAACGTGGTTGGATGTCACCTCAATGGTCTAAATACTAAGCGCTGGTGCAAATGCAAGGTCATGGATGACCATTACTAAGGAGTCACATATTAGTATACCTAGGCTTCCAGGCTTTAGTAGTGGCTTAAATGAGATCAGTTCTTGATTTAAAAGATACATATATGTTTGTTTAAAAGTGATCTGTGATTTATTCTTGAATTATTTATATCTTGTACTCTATTCACCTACTCTATCAATTTGATTCAGCTTTAATTGACCCCGAAAATTCAGAAATTCCAGAAAATAATCCCAATGATCATTATGAAGTGAATTCGTGTACAACAGAAGAGCAAAACATTGAAGAGGATAATTCAGGGAAAACAAAGAAAAAATTCAAAGTTAGAAATTTCTTTAGATCGTGTATTCGATAGGAAATAAAGATGGTTGTTCTTTAGCAGAAATAATAAAAGTGAATAATAATAATAATAACAGATGAAGAAATTCACATTCAATATGATTTACAATCTTTTCAGATTTTTCAATTTATGTATATGTTATCATTGATTTTCTTGTTATTTTTAATGAAAAACAATCATAATTGCATATACATGCAGTATCTAAGTGTGTTTATGTATACACTATAATATATGCATTCCTTAATAATCATGATTCATGTTCACTTTCTTTACCCTTTACTATTGTGCATCAAAGGTATTTTCTTATACTCTTCTCAACTGAAGTTTATTTATCAAGATAAATATTCATTTACATTAAGATAGAAAAAATGTAAAAGTTTGAAGTGAATACAATACACTTGAAGAAGAAAAAAAAACATGAAGGAAAGTTAAGGAAATTATTTGATTAATTAATAATGAATTATTTTTATTGTCTTTCTATTACAATTCTACTTTCTATCTCCCTTCCTCTATGTATCTTTGTTATTTCTTCCTAACTCCCTTCCTCCTTACCCCCTCCCTTTTTCTTTATTTTTAATTCAATTCATGAATTCATATGGGGAAAAATGAATCATAAAATGAAATTAGCACTCTTATGTAATTGTAATATTGATTCATTATTTTAATCCTCTTGTTTTGTACATTATTATGTAATAGTTTTTTTTTGTAATTTTCATCTTAGTCATTTCAGACTAATATTTCTTCTTTTCTAATAGATATTTGCCATGTTTGTTTTTTCATAATTTTTCTCTCTCCTTAATATTATTTTACTCATCACAGTTAGTTTAATTACATAAATACATATTCTCTCTTTGTAGTTAGTGACTAACTTAATAATTTTATATCATTATCTCATAATCACTAGCGTTTATGTAATTATATTATTGAAGAAACAAAATGACCTATACAATAAAACAGATGTTTATTTATCAATGCTTCTTTATAGTTTTTCTATTGAAGTAGGATAATCATTCACTGATCATTTTCATTTCAAGTTCAAATTGATTCAATATTAAATTGGGATTCAGATGTTTTGTGATCATTTCAACACTTAGATGTGTTAGATCTAAACTCATATAGTGTAAATAGATTATGGTTCACAAATTAAAAATGAGAGAAGTGTTAACTTTCCATCCTGTTTTTAAACTGTTCTATGGGTGATGTTGAATTTTCATAAAAATCTACTAATGATCCTGTCAAGATCACAGGTTATCGAATCTTTGCTGGTAAATGTTGATTCTTCCATTAAAAGATAACTTGAATAAAAATTTTCCTAATTTTTGCGCGACCTTTGGCGTTTTCTGTTTAGTTGATAACAATTTCAACTTGCCAGTCGTTTGTTCCTTAAAGTTATATCTTGTTGGTAGATAGCTTTCTTCTATTTTACTTCGAATTATAAAATGTCACTTTTTTCGCACTCCTACCTTCTTCCTAGGTTTCATCGTATTAAGAATAATGGTTGCAATGTTGTGTGTTTCAGTAATGGTAATATTGAGTTTGCATTAGTTCCTATTTTTATTGGAAGATGTCTCAGCCGTGCCTAATTAGTAAATGCCGGAGATCTAATCTGAACAGAAATAAAGCAGAATCCTAAAATACTAGAACTAAACTACTCCTTTATATTTAGAATGTCTAAACTAACAAACAACATGGATATATGTATATTGTTAGTAACACGTTTTGTTCCATTCTGTTTGAGTGAGAAGTTAAGCCATAAGTGTATTGTTTCACAATAAAAGATGTTCAAAACAATAAAAATCAATATTCAGTTATAAGTTATGCCCAATTGTATAATACAGTTGAAACACAATAATTAACAATGTCAGGTGATTAGAGTGATATAAGTACTTAATTTGCTTTCTAACAGAAATAAGTTTTTAATTTCCTGCTATTCACTAAAAGTTATGTAACTTATATAATATAGATTTCTTCTACAAAATAGACTGATCATTAATTGTCTCATTAAAACTATTCGTATTGAATGCTTTTATGTATATAATTCAAGTTATATCTCTGTAACAAATAATTTATAAATAGGAAATAGTTTTTTCCAGTTATGAAATTATATTAATATTGGTGGATGGTGGTGTAATCTAGGACGCGTGTTTCGTCCTATCTGTAACTTGTTCTCTGGATTTACCTGCATCTGTACTGATGTTGACTCCGTGGGTCGAACTCAGTTCTAATAGCCACTAGCTAATGCAATGGATAAACCATCAATTCCTTTGGTATTATTATGACCAAAAAATGATTGACAAAGAAACAGTAATTATGATATTGATAACTTATTCTTTAAAGTATGGTTTATTTGATAAAAGTCAATTTTTTTTTAATGGTTTACATTAATTAATCAGAGAGAAATAACGTATGTAAAATGAATTGAGATTAAATGGTCTTTACACACTTACGCCTGTTACTCCTCCGTGAAGAAGCATAGGCCACTCACCAGCAATCCCCATCCAACCCTGTCCTGGTCAATCCTTTCCAGCTCCTTCCAGTTCCTATTCATCCTTTTCATATCTGCTTCTATTACCCGACGTAATGTGTTCTTTGGCTTTCCACTTTTCTGCTTCCCTTCAGGACTCCAACTTAGGGCTTGCCTCGTAATGCATGTCTTATCCATTTTAATCATCTTCTCCTAATTTCCTCTTGAGCTGAAAGATGGCTTCTTCTCTCCCATAGAAGACTGTTGCTGATGGTATCCGGCCAATAGATGTTGAGTATCTTGCATAGAAAACCATTTATAAATAGTTGTATCATTTTGATGATGGTTATAGTAGCTGCCCAAGTTTCAGCTCCGTACTGTAGAACTGTATTGACATTTGTACTGAAAATTCTGACTTTGATGTCGGCTGACAGCTGTTTTGAGTTCCATATATTCTTCACTTGTAGGAATGTGGCTCTTGCTTTCACAATCTTTGACTTTACGTTATGCATCTGATCCTCCTTGTTCGTTGACGATGTTTCACAGGCACGTATAAGATTCTACATCTCCCAGAGTTTCGTCATCAAGTGTGATTGAATTGGTGTTCTCTCTTTTGTTTTTGAAGACCTTGGTTTTCCCCTTGTATGTGTTGAGGCCTACTGATGTAGAGACTGCTGCTACACTGGCTGTCTTTATCTGCATTTGTTCTTGTGTGTGCGATAGGAGGGCTTGGTCTAAATCGTCTAATTGATTCTGAGATGTCCGTTGTATTCCGTGTTTGTCCTCAGATGTCGAGGTCTTCATAATCCAGTCGACCACCAGAAGAAAGAGGAGGAGAGAGAGTAGACAGCCTTGTCTGACTCCGGTCCTTACTTGGAATGCATCCGTCAGCTGTCCTCCATGCACGACCATGCACTGTAATCCATCGTATTAGTTCCGGATAATGTTGACAAACTTCTCAGGGTCTACATAGTGTCGAAGAAGTCTCCATAACTTCATTGTCAAACATCTTTGCATAATCGATGAAGTTGATGTATAATGATGAGTTCCACTCAACTGATTGTTCGACGATGATCCATAATGTCGCAATTTGTTCTGTGCACGACCGATCCTTACGGAATCCAGCATGTTGATTTTGATGTTGGGTGTCTACTACGCCTTTCATCCGATTCAGCAACACTCTGTTAAAGACTTTCCCTGGTACTGACAGTATTGTGATGTTTCTGTAGTTTTCACATTTGTTCAGATCTCCTCTCTTTGGAATCTTAGTGAGGTATCATTCCTTCCAGTCCATCGGCACTTGTTCCTCCTCTCAAATCTTTTTGAATATAAGGTGAAGCATATTTGTAGTTATTCCGATGTCTGACTTCAGTGCTTCAGCTGGTATGTTGTCGGGTCCTGCTGATTTCCCGTCCTTGATTTGTCTGATGGCCATTCTGATTTCTTCCGTCGTTGGAGGAGTGACATTTATCGGAAGGTCTGTGTGTGCTGCTTCGATGTCCGGTAGGTGCATTGGAGAATCGAAGAATAGAAGAATTCTTCAAAGTACTCTACCCATCTGTTCCGCTGTTCTTGAATTTCAGTGATTGGCCTGCCTTTTCTGTCTTTGACTGGTCTCTCTGGTTTACTATATCTCTCCGCTAGTTTCTTCGTTAAATCATATAGTTGTTTCATATTTCCTTCTCTTGCAGCTTTTTCCACTGTCTTTGCTAGTTCTTTCACGTATTTCTGCTTGTCGGCTTTAATGCTCTTCTTTATTTGCCTGTTTGCTTCTGTTTACTCAGCTTGTGCTTGGAATTTTTCTTCTCGTGTTTGGCTGTTGTTAATTGCTGTCTTCTCGTTCTTCCTTTCTTTGATCTTGTCCAGTGTTTCTATAGTGATCAACTCCTTATGATGGTGTTTCTTGAGGCCCAGAACCTCTTGATACGTTGAAGTTAATGCTTCTTTGATGCCTTTCCAGTTGTCCTTCATACTAGTTTCTTCTTCTTTCGGTAGATCTTGTAAGGCTTGAGACTGTTGTTGAAAGTTATCTTGAATTCATTGAGTCTGTCAGTATCTCGAGGGAAGGTTGTATTGAACCTTTGTAGTGCTGTTTGTCCAGTTGTCCAGTTCTTCTTTAGCTTCAGTTTTAAATTGGCCACAACTAGGTGGTGTGGTGATCTGAAGTTATGTCAGCTCCTCTCTGGTTCTCACATCTTCGGAATTTTTTATTATGCAAATATGATCTATCTAGTTCTTTGTGGTGCGGTCCGGTGAGATCCATGTAGCTTTGTGTATACGTTTGTGTGGAAATATTGTGCCGTCTATGACCGATTCGTTGAATGCATACAGATTTGCAAATCTTTCTCCATTTTAGTTTCACTCACCCAGTCCATGTCGTCCCATGATATCCGGTGTTGTCTATTCCGACTTTGGCATTTAGATCTCCCATCAGAATGGTGACTTTTTCTTGAGCACTTCTCTATGATTGACTGCAGCCGCTCGTAGAATTGATCTTTGATGTCGTCGTTGCCATCATTGGTAGGTGCATAACATTGGATAATATTCATTG